TTGCTCCCACTTCCCTTCCCCTGCAAGATTATAACAGGACCTGCTTCCCGCACACACGCTCTCCTGACCTCTCTCTCTCAACCCTTCTCCCCTTTGTCCCTCTGTTCACTCTCCCCCTCTTTTAACTACGGTGTTTGGTGGTGGCCTTCCAGTGTGAGTGCCCTCACAATACCTCACTGTAGGCTGTGGGAGAATTCCCCTGGGGTGTACATAGCTGACTCAGAATTGCTGTGTGCACTTCCTTCCTCTGGCTCAGCAGTGACAGAGGCCCGGAGTGTCACTGCCCTCTCCCACAGCACAGCACGACGGTCCTCTGCTCCCACCTCCCTGCCAGCATCAGTCCTTCACTAGCTTTCTTCCAGCAAAACCCCACTGTTGCTTAAATTCACATTTGCCTGATTATTTGTACTTCCTTGATGTTTTGCCTATGTTGATTTCTTTCTTCTTTTTTAAAAAGATTTTATTTATTTACTTGAGAGGTACAGTTACAGAGAGAGAGGGAGAGACAGAGACAGAGACAGAGAGGTCTTTATCTGCTGGTTCACTCCCCAAATGGCTGCAACAGCCAGACCTGGGCCAATCTGAAGCCAGGAGCCAGGAGCTTTTTCCGGGTCTCCCATGTGGGTGCAGGGGCCCAAGGATTTGGGCCATCTTCTACTGCTTTCCCAGCCCATAGCAGAGAGCTGAATATGAAAAGTAGCAGACAGGACATGAACTGGCACCCATATGGGATGCTGGTGCCACGGGCGAAGGCTTAGCCCACCACACCATAGTGCCGGCCCCTATGTTGATTTCTTTTATAGCCTTTTTTTTTTTTTAAGATTTATTTGAAAGACAGATTTACAGAGAAAGAGGTAGAGACAGAGAGGTCTTCCATCCGCTGGTTTACTCCCTAGATGGCCACAACGGCAGAGCTGCGCCGATCCAAAGCCGGGAGCCAGGGACTTCTTCCGGGTCTCCCATGCGGGTGCAGGGGCCCAAGGACTTGGGCCATCCTCAACTGCTATCCCATGCCATAGCAGAGAGCTGGAGTGGAAGAGGAGCAGCTGGTACTAGAACCAGCGCCCATATGGGATGCCGGTGCTTCAGGTCAGGGCTTTAACCCGCTGTGCCACAGCGCCAGTATAGTCTATTTTTTAATATGGCATTAAGTGGGCATACACTGTTTTATTTTACTCCATATATTATGTTGCCTTTGCCTGTGTCGTCTGTTGAACAGTTGGTATTTTCCTGTTGATTTGTGGTGCCTATTTTATCATAAAGTAAGCTCTCTTAAGTAGCAAGCTCTCTTAAGTAGCAGAAATCTATCTCTGATTCCTCTATTTTCCTACTGGTCCTATTATTCTTTTTATTATTATTATTATTTGAAAGATAGAGTTAGACAGTGTAAGGGAGATAGAAAGGTCTTCCTTTACCCCCCACAAATGGCCGCTACGGCGAGAGCTACGCTGATCCGAAACCAGGAGCCAGGTGCTTCCTCCTGGTCTCCCATGCGGGTGCAGGGCCCAAGCAGTTGGGCCACAGCAGAGAGCTGGCCTGGAAGAGGAGCAACCGGGACTAGAACCGGTGCCCATATGGGATGCCAGCGCCGCAAGCGGAGGATTAACCAAGTGAGCCACGGCGCCTGGTCATATTATTCTTGTGCTGTTTGCATTTGTATGGCTTTGTAACGTATCTTAACATCCGTAGGACAAGACTCTCTCCTTCACTGTATATTTTCAAGGTTTTGTTACTCATGGATGTTTGTTAAGAGGAGGAAAGTTTAAGATTGTTTTGCAGGTGGGACTATGCTGGCCTCTTAGGCTTTACTGAGGTTTGAATTTCTACACCTTCCAATTTGGTAATTCTTCCCTAGGTTTTCAGGTCTTTGTACCTTGTTTAGGAAAATCCTCCTCACCCCAGTATTATGTAAAAATACTTCAATATTTTATTTTAAATCATACAGAGTTTAATGCTCAGATAATTGATCTGTTATTTATTTTTGTGTAGTGATGAAAGTGGCCTCTGACTTTATTTTATGCCAATGCCAGGTTAGTTTCCCACTACTGGATAGCCTGTTCTTTCGCTGCTGATGGGAAATTCCTTGCCACCTTTACCTACATTGCATGTGGACATAGGGCTCTTCCTGGCTCTGCTTCTCGGTGGAAGGCACTGGAACGCAGAGCCTGCAGGGCAAGACTGGAAACACTAGAGGCGTTTGAGCAGGTGAGGCGGAAGCTGCAGGCAGGCACTTACAAAGCTCGCGAGCTGGGCGAGTGTGATTCCGGGACGAAGTGGATGCTGCTGACAGGTGCAAAGGCAAAGAGGCAAAGCGGTGGTGTCCTTACAGGCCTGGCCGGGGAGCAGTATTGTCCAGCTGCTGAGAGCTTGGGTCATCTGAGGCCAAGGGGCCGCTGGCCAGAGGCAGCTCTTGGTCACCCTATCAGTGGGAGTCAGAACAAGCCCTGAGAGTATCAATGCAGACAGCAACCTCGGCCGGCCGGGCAGGATGGGGATCTCCAAGAAGATCCTGGGGCTCCCTGCCCATGAGGAAGGAGGGGTGATGGATCGGAGGGAACCCTGCCCTGCCATCATGTCCCAGAAATGACTCCAGAATTTCCACCCGGAAGGGAAGCAGGGGACTTGCCTTTGCAAGCCCAGAGGGCTGTCTTGGCTTCCCTGTGTGTCCACTTAGAGAGCTGGAAGAGAGGAGGGACCCAGGCACCCCTCACTGTGGCCTGTTTTTTGCTTGGCACCTCGAAGTCACCTACCCAGCCCACTTCTGCCTTGCCCAGGGTCCTCTGTCCCCCTGAAGCCCCCTTAGAGCAACACTGGACAACTGACTGTCACCTTCAGCACTGTCCTCTCTCCCCGGGTTACATGGTCCTTATCTCTGCCTTCCAGACCCACCTGAGCAGTGGGCTTGGGGGCAGGTGTGCAGGAATACTTGCTAGAGGGTCGGCCTGTTCAGTTCCAGGTTGCGCCAGCTCTGAGAGGTGTGGAGGAATAAGCCCACCTGACCTCCCTTAGCTGCCTATGCAGTGTGATTTTGTGGGACTACCGTGTGGGAGGCAAGGCCCTGGCCCTGAGGAGGTGGCAGATGTGAGGAATATGGGGGCTGGAGACCGAGATTTTTCCGGAAGAGGGAAGGGGGACAGGGTATGAGTGTGTGGCTGTGCTCCTTCCTTGAGAAGAGCAAATGCCAGGCCCTGAGGAATGCCCTGGTGTTTAGGGATTGCTCTGGGCCTGTTTACAGGGAAAGGTGGAGGAGTGGAGGGAATGGGGGTCAGTAGGATGCCACCATTTTGGAAAACATACAGTGCAGTGGGTTGTACTGCCACAATGTTCGTGGACTCATTTCCTACCAATCTGGCCTTCTGTCCCCCTTCATTCCACATCTGTCCCCCTGTCCCAGGCAGTCTGTCCCCCTCCTCCTAGCAAATCTCCTGCGTCAGCATCATTCTGCTGTGGCTTCTTAAAGCTCAGCTTTGATCTCATCGCTGTCCTGCTCAGCAGCCATCAGTGGCTGCCCGTCACCCAGAGAAGATATCTGAAGTTGTGGGTCATGACTGTTGGTCCCTAACCTGTCCTTCCAAGTCTGTTGCTTCTGGCGCCTGCCTTCTCTCTGGGTCTCACTCTACCCCGCATCTCCCGCCGTGCGACTCCCTGCCACTGAGTCCGGAGCATTTGCGTACCTAAGCGTCCCCACTCTCTGGCCTCCCCGTCCTTCCCCGTGCTGTTCCTTCCTTCTAGGATGCGCTTCCCTCCTACCATGAGCTGCTGAATTCCCATCCAGCCTCCAAGGCTCAATTCAGATGCCGCCTCCTCCGTGAAGCCTTCTCCAGCACAGTCTCCCTCCGCAGCCAGAATCCACTTTCCGTCTTCTGTGCTCCGCAGCCAGGGCTTAGCCGTGGGACGGAGCTCTGGGACCCAAGGATCTTTACGTGCGAAGGATTTGCATTGCTCCTTCCAGGGTGCTCCCTGTCACCACAGGGGCACTCGGACCCCAGAGCCTCCGAGGGTTGCACACATGTGGCTCCCCGGCCTCGAGCCTGGAGTTTCCTCTCAGCAGCATGTATACAGTAGGTGCTTCCTAGGTACATGAACTAAACTGAATCTCATTTCTGCGCAGGGGTGTGGCCGTGGCAGTGGGTTGGGTGCAGGGCCGGGAAGGAGGCTGTGGGGCACCAGGCCCAGGCCCAGCCTCTCTGGAGGGCGATGCACTGATAGCACCGCTGGGCTCAGCCCCGTGCCAGGCCCCGTCTGCCCTGCATCCAGAGCTCATGCTCGGTTTCATGAAATCACTCCTGTCTGCGGGCCAGAAGAGCCGGTTGTGGGGCCCCAGGCAAGAGCTGGAGCAGGGAACTCCCAGGTACAGAGCCGGGCAGCCGAGCAGGCAAAGCCGCCCTTGCCGGGCCCCCAAGTGGGCCAAGGAGCAGACCAGAGATAGGAATCACCTGGGCAGGGCCAGCACATCTCCCAGCTGCCCCGACACCCGCAGAGGCTGGCACACCCTCTTTCCACCTGTTCTTCCAGTGGGCGGTGCGCAGGGGCTGCTCGCCCTGGATTCTTCTCTCCAAGGATTTGCGCAGTTATCTTCTTTCTGCACTTGTTGACTCTGGGAGCCTTGTCCATGGCTCATGCCTCCCTTGAGACCCCTGCCACAGCCCCCGCAGCGCTGAGTGCTGGCACTGCAGTGGAGTCGGGAGGAGGGGCTTTGTCCCCCAGAGGGGCACCTGTGAGCCTTGACCTCTGAGTTTAAGAGCTGGGACTTTCCCAAATTGTGGCTGGGCCGATCCTAAAGTGGCGAGAGCCCTGCATCCTCTTCTTAGACGACTCCCCTTGCCCGTGGATGACCTGGCTCCAGGGCCAAAGCCCCTGCTGCTCCCTGCATTTAAGAGCTGGAGACCTGCGAGGCCCTTGCTGCTGAGTCCTGGGCCCCAGCACCCACTCTGCCCACCTGAACCCCTCCCTGGGCAATCCCAGCCACTGCCGAGAGGCGGCCAGGAGGCGGGGCTCTGAGTCAGAGTATAAGTTGCTGAGCTCGCCAGCCTGCTGGAGAGCCACCACGATGCTCCAGAGGCAGATGCCCGCCTGGATCTCACACAACCTGCCGGACCCATGCCAAGCAGAAGATGGCAGGCCCTGGACCACCTGTGCATCGAAGGTGAGGGAGCCGTGCCGGTGGCTGGGCCAGAGGCTGAGGGCCAGGGAGATGTGTTCCAGGGGTGCGGGTCAGGGGCTGGGGGCTGCGGGCAGGAAGAGGCCCCCAGGGAGGACCAGTGGACATCACACACTCCAGAGATTTCAGCTTCAGAACCTGTGCCAAGCACCCTGGGGGAAGTGGTTGAGCCCTGCTGGGGCCTGAGTTGCTGGGTGGATGGTCCAGCCGAGAGCACCCACAAGCTTTACAGCCCCGTGCAGTGACTCAGGGCCATCTGGGGCCAGCACCCAGGGTAGGTCATGCTGAGTACTGCTGGAGGAGCCACACTTGGCCTGTGCTCATGCTGAGTGGGTATTGGCTATACACGTCCTAGAGGGCTTTGTTGTGAGTCTGGCACGGTGTGTGGCGAGAGCAGTGGCATCGCCAGTCTCTGCGTCAGCCGCAGTTCTGCCCACTTGGGTTTACAGTCAAGGCTCCTCGGTCCGTCCACCTCACAACCCCGTGAGACCTCTGGGCTGGTGAATCAGGTTGCCTGTGCTCTGCCTTGCTTTTCCCATCTAGACAATGGGGAGGAGACCTGGAGCTTGCAGCTTCCCACAGACACGCGATGGCGTTGCAGTGGGGGAGGGTCGCCAGCTCCCGCAGCCCACACTAAGTCACTGAAGGAACTCGGTGATGCCCTGAGAGGGTCTTGGCTTTTGAGGTGAGAACTGGAGACCTTGTCCAAGGAGCCCAAGAAGGGGAGCTCCATACTGCTCGGCAACCGGAGCCCCTGCTGCCCTACGGGACACACGTGCCCCCAGGTGTGCCCAGGGACCCCAGCACTCGGGTGGCTGAAAGGACCTCTGAATAGTGCCCGTTCCTGCCTCTCCAGTCTTATTAAGCTTCCAGCAGATCTCCTGAGGGCACATTGCTGCCCTTGGAGGGAACAGTGAAGCAACTGAGAACTGAGGGCCCAGAGTGTGGCTCCAGGAGCCCTCCTTGAGCTGCGCTTGTTCCTCGCAGGTCCTGGAGGGTGCTAGTCACTCAGTGCTGGATCTTCTTGCCCTAACCACTCACCTAGCCTGAGCGTAAGAAGGAGAACAGCCACGGGGGCATCCTCCTGGGTACTGCCCTGGCTGGTTAGGACACCATCTGGGGTTCCATGTGTCCCCGTCCCAATGCCTCACTCGTGGGGAGGGCTCTTTCCTCCTGGAAGCTATCACCAGGCTGATATGAGCTCTGACACAGGTGTTGCAAGGGCTGGATGGCTACACCCAGCTCTGCTGGGAGGGGCAGGTGGCATCACCTGCTGGTCCGTCCTGACAAGTCCTGGGAAGGGAGCTGTCTTCCTCTCCCCAGGCACCAGAGGCCCCGGGGATGGTTTGGTGAAGTGGTCCAAAGATGAGGATCAGACCTGCCACTCTGCACCCAGATTGTCTGACCTACCCAGCCCCCTTATCCCACCCAGGAGCCTGGCCCCAGGAACCCATCTGTAGCTAAGTATTCTTTTGACTTCTCTGTGTTAACAACTGGCCTCTTGAGGTATAGGGAAAGTCCCAGTTTGGGAGCTGAGGGTCTTACCCCTGCTTCTGCTATTGCCTAGTGTAGTGTGTGACCTAGGGCAGGCTGTTGGCTGGTCTTTGTTAATTCCTGGTGACAGCCAGTCTCCACTGGAAAAGCGCATCTGCAAGGCAGGCCGCCCGGCACCTGCGCTGTGGTCCTGCCCCTGGTCTGCGTGAGTGTGTGAGAGAGAGAATCTGCCAAAACCCCGTCCTCTCCAGTAAAAGGCAGGGCTGAAGACGCCTTCCTCAGTGGGCAGCTGCACGGTAGATCCGCACCTATGCATAGCACCCAGTGCAGAGCCAGGGCCTGGCACGCCAGAGAGCGTTATCGGTTTTGTTCCCCAGCTCCGCCAAAGGTCCTCTAAAACTAGGTCCCTGTCTGAAAAATAAGGGAAGCACTGCACTCATGATGGCCAGTCCTGAGAAGCAAGGGGTGCCTCTTCTCCGTGTGAGCTGGGAAGCCCCCGCCTCCCAGCACTGAATAGATCTTGAGGGGAAAGTGCAGTGCTGGCAAGACCAACCCCCAGGGCCGAGGCCGGGGCTGACTATGTGCGCAGCCTCAGCAGCAGCTCGCGCTCTCGCACGTGGCAGCCCAGAGGCTGCTGCCCAGCCTTGCCCCCGCACAGCTGCGCTGGGTACGGAAGTGGCTGCTTACAGCTCGGAAGTGCTGGCCAAATAGTTCCTGCCTTGACCCCCAAGTCCCTGGTCCCTGCCCAGGACCCTCCCAGCGCCCTCACAAACTGAAGCGTGAATCCCGTCCCTGCTCCAGGGCCACAGCCCAGCAGGCACAGCGTCTGGCCATGCCCACTGCTAAGTATTCTGACTTTCACTTGACTACATCCTGCTCTCAGGATGGGCTTGTCCAAGTCCCTGAGGGTTTGACCCTTACCACAGCACAGGAGACTCCAGAAACTTAGGTTCCACAGCCTCCCTGGGCCCTGTTTTCCATTTGCCCATTATAGAAACTGTGGTTTGTTCTACCATAGATCAATGACCTCTGGGGCCATGAATTTTTGTGCCTCTCTAGCACCACTCCAATTGAGCTGTGACATCAGGAGCAATTTGTACATTTGTGTTAACCCCAGGTCATTTGTTCATAGACTGAGTCCCGGAATGCACCTGGGCCATAGACCAAAGCCCCATCGTCCTGTGTCTTAGTCCATTTTCTGTTGCTATAACAGAATATCTGAAACTGGGGCCTGTTTTAGCCCACAGTTCTGGAGGCTGGAAAGCCCTAGAGCATGGAGTTGACATCCTGCTCATCTTCTGGAACAGGGCTCTTTCAGCTTCAACTCATGGCAGAAGGCAAAAGGGCAAGCAGGTGTGTGTGAAAGAGGAAAAAAAAAAAAAACAGGAGGTGCAGCCTCCTTCTATAATAAGCCCCTCTCGCAGTGAATTATCCAGACCCTGGAGGGCTGCGTTCTCTGAACAGCCCATCACCTCTAGAGGGCCTGCCTTTCAGCCCCGCCCCGCAGCAGCTGCATTCCAACAGGAGCTTCAGAGGGGACAAACCGTGTTCAAACCGTAGCATCTACTTCCTCCTCCCAGCCTGGTCCGTCTGGGGTTTCTCTCAAACACCCTTCCAGGCTGTGTCTCTGCTGGCCAAATACAGGAGTGCTTTGTGGAGTACTTTGCAACTGGGTCACTCCTGAAAGCCCCTGGTCCCTGAGAGGGGCCACGGCAGACCGTGGAGGAGAACCCTCGTGCTTACTAGAAAAATGAGAACTTCTCCAAGGGCCCTGACGGCTGTGCGTGGCCTGGATTTTTAGAAAACGAGAGCAATCATGGAGTGTGTCTGTAGAAACATAGCTGATAGGAGCACAACCACAGAAGGACTGTCAACGCTTGGGGCGTGGTTTAGGCTTTGGGCGAATTCAAGGTGAAGGAAAGGACTCTGTCGGGAAACGGGGGTCCTAAGAGAAGAAGTCGAAGGAGGAAAAGCAACAAGAGTGGAGTCCAAGGAGAGCAGTGGTCACGAACACAGATTTGAGAATTAGGGTTGGATTCAATTTTTGGGTTCCTCTGATTCCAGCTGAGAGCCCCACATCAAAGGATTTATCCCCAGATTCCCCATCTGTAAACTGAAATAATAGCGACTGCTTCGTGGAGTGGTTACGGAGGTTAAGCAAGAAGATACATGGAGCATGAGCACACAGTTTGTGGCATGTGGCCGGGCACTCAGGACATGGTAACTGATGTGGCCACTGCTGCTCCTGAGTTAGAGCAGAAGAACCAGGCAACCTCAGTGGAAGGCACTGGGGTTAGATGACAGGAGAGAACTTTTCCTGGAAGGCAGGGAGACCTTGAGTGAGGTCCTGGGGAAGCCCCGGAGGCTCCCTCCTGTCCAGAGTGGGTCCTAAAGGAGCTGGGCTGGGCCTTGGCAAGCCCCACCTAGAGGCAGGAGAAAGGGCCGTGATGGCTGAGAGGCCCACAGCCCTGGGTTCAGAGCCCTGCTACTGTAGAGAACATGGATCTAGTTGCCCTCTGAGAAAGTGGCCTTTGTGGGGACTGCTCCCCTGGTACAAGTCAACTCCTGCTGCCTCACCAGGTCAGACCAGGAGTCACTCTGCCCAGTGCAGGTGGGAAATAAGGAGCCCACCATGCCCAGGGCGAGGGACTGGCCAAAGACACAGCCATGGGTCCAGAACCGGAAACCCTGGATGTGGGCTTTGACCCAGCTCATCATGCTCACAACAGAATGCTGTGAGTCCAAGTTGTTGATTATGAAAATATTCAACACTTGAGAGTTAAAATCTCCTGAAAAGGGCCCTTCGACCTAGAATTGACTGTCAGCTTGACTTTGAGGCAGCTGTTGGGGAGACAGAGGAAGGCTACCCTAAAATCTACTTACTTGTCAAGCTCAGGGAATAAATTACTTTGCTTTCCCAGAGTCTTTGTTCTATTGTTGCTGGTTAGAATTAAGCCCAGGAAGATCCAAACAGACATCAAAATGGTAACTGACTGATTCTGAGCGTTAGATTATAGGGACTCTTTTTTGGGGGGCATACTTTGTTTTCCCCCAAACCTCAATATTAGTTAAAGAGAGAAGAATTGCATTTTTTTAGATTTATATATTTTATTTGAAAGGCAGAGTTAGAAAGAGAGAGAGAGAGAGAGAGAGAGAGATCTTTCATCTGGTTCACTTCCCAAATGGCTGCAATCACTGGGGCTAGGCCAAGACAAAGCCAGGAGCCAGCAGTTTTATCCAGGTCTCCCAGGTGGATGGCATGGGCACAAGTACTTGAGCCATCCTTTACTGCCTTTCCAGGCACATCAGCAGGGAGCTGAATCAGAAACAAAGCAGCCAGGACTTGAACCAGCACCCATAGGGAATGCAGTGTTACAGGTGGCAGCTGAACCTGCTATGCCACAAAGCTGGCCCCTGTATCATCTTTTTTTTTTTTTGACAGGCAGAGTAGACAGTGAGAGAGAGACAGAGAGAAAGGTCTTCCATTGCCGTTGGTTCACCCTCCAATGGCCGCCATGGCCGGCGCACCATGCTGATCCGAAGCCAGGAGCCAGGTGCTTCTCCTGGTCTCCCATGGGGTGCAGGGCCCAAGGACTTGGGCCATCCTCCACTGCCTTCCTGGGCCACAGCAGAGAGCTGGCCTGGAAGAGGAGCAACTGGGACAGAATCTGACACCCCGACCGGGACTAGAACCCGGTATGCCAGCGCCGCAAGGCGGAGGATTAGCCTGTTGAGCCGTGGCACTGGCTCTCTGTATCATCTTAAGGCACTAAGTGGTCCTAGTGGCAGACCAGCACAGGTAGGGTGACATGTCAAGGGTTCTAGTTCAGAAGCCTCTATTAACACAGGTATTTGGTTGGGGGCATCCAGTGGCATTTGCTGTGGGCACAGGCTGGGGGTGGACAGTAACAGAAACTGGTGTAATCCTGGGTGAAACCTTGAGGGAAAGGACTTCGGTCCTTTCAAACAGGAAGGGCAGGAACTGCAGAGAACAGAGCCAGGACACCTGCAGATCAGGCACAAGGTGGCCCCCTTCTGTGGAGTGCTGCCTCCACGAGGTGCAGGAGGAAAACGCTTTGCTCGGCAGCCTTGGTCCCAAAGGAGCAGAAGAAGGGTCTTCCCAAGTCCAGAAACGTGCTAGACTGTGGGGAGGCTTCTGGAGCCGGGGAGAGGCCCCAAGCCCAGCCAGTGGGCGCCTGTGGCCGACTTGACCTGCTTCCCCCTCAAGACCACCCACCATCCTTGCCTTCCACTCCCTCTTCTCTGCCTAACATTTACCCCTGACTCCCAAGCATCTGGCACAGGGCCCAGCAAGCCAGGCAGAAGGGGGCGGGGATGGAACTGAGGCTCCCAGGGCCTGCTGGGTTGGGGCAAGATCAGTAGGCAGGGAAGGACTGCAGAGAGAGAAGCGGGGAGAGGTGGGTCCTTGGTGGACAGGAAAGTTGGTGGGGAGGCTGGTAGAGATGGTTCAGGCTGTCTGGGAGGCTGAGCGTCTGTGGAGGACAAAAGCGAGCCAGTGGCTAATGTGTGATTCACAGAGTACAGGGGAGGGAGGTGGGCAGGGCCCCTCCCACTACCACGGACACCATGGCCAAGGGACTTGAGATGATGCCAGGGCCCCCAAGAAGTGGAAGAAATCCAACAGGAGCTGGCAGAAGGAGAAACATCACCACCAAACACACAGCCCCGGGCATGTGCACATGGGGAGGGGTCATCAGGAAGGTCACTGGCACAGGCAGAGGCCGCAGGGCTCCCTGGGGTTGCAGTTACCGACAGTGGCTTCTGACAGGCACCAGTGGTGGGATCAAGGATGACTTGAGCTTTTGCCAGCATGAAGCAGAAGGCATTGCAGCACAGCTGAGATGCTACAGGTAGCTCTCGCAAGAGCAGTGTAGGGGAGAGAGGCACACTGGCCACTGGCAAGGGCCAACAGAGTGACAGCAGAGACTTGGGGGACAATGCCCTGGGTAAGGAGGCTTGTAGACAGGGGAGAAACAGATGTCCCTGGGCTGGAGCTAAGCCACTCTGCCCGGGGGAAGAGCACCCGCCATGCCGTCTCTCGGTGAGTATATGTCCCTCCCTGATTGGTGTCTGTCACCACCACCCACCCAAGCCATCCATGCCTGCCTCCTGAGCAAGCTGCCACCTTGGGCCAGGAAGGGCAGCGTTAGTCTCTGCATGGGGTGGGAGGAGGGAGGGATAGAGCTGGGGTAGAGGGGAGGTTAGGATGTAAGAAAACACTACACAAACAGCCCTGGCTATCAAACCACGTCCATGAGGTGTCGCATGAAAGAGGCCAATGCTCCTGAAAATGGATTCCAGGAGACAGTGGGGAGGAGGGGGGAGGGGCAGAGTGGGAGGGGGTGGGCAAACAGAGCTCTCGGATGGATGCAGGCACAACGGCCACAGTAGCTGCCAGTGAGCGGCTATTTATGGAGATAAAAATGAGAGTGGCAGGCCGGCGCCGCGGCTCACTAGGCTAATCCTCCGCCTTGCGGCGCCAGCACACCGGGTTCTAGTCCCGGTCGGGGTGTCAGATTCTATCCCAGTTGCCCCTCTTCCAGGCCAGCTCTCTGCTGTGGCCAGGGAGTGCAGTGGAGGATGGCCCAAGCCCTTGGGCCCTGCACCCCATGGGAGACCAGGATAAGTACCTGGCTCCTGCCATTGGATCAGCGCAGTGCGCCGGCCGTGGCGGCCATTGGAGGGTGAACCAACGGCAAAGGAAGACCTTTCTCTCTGTCTCTCTGTCTCTCTCTCTCTCACTGTCCACTCTGCCTGTCAAAAAAAAAAAAAAAATGAGAGTGGAAACATCGCTGCTGGTGTTTGTTCTGTGCTTGGGGCAGAAACTTTCATCCATTGGTTCATCCAGTTTTGTTTTTTTGTTTGTTTGTTTGTTTTTTAAGATTTATGTGTGTATTTGAAAAGCAGAGTGACAAAGATAACTTCCATCCACTGGTTTACTCTCTAAATGGCCTCAATGGCTGGGGCTGGGCCAGGCTGAAGCCAGGTGTTTGAAATCCCATCTGGGTCTCCCTCACGAGTGATAGGGTCCCAAGTACCTAGGCTATCTTCTGCTGCTTTCCCAGATGCATTAGCAAAGAGCTAGATCAGAAGCAGAGCAGCTGAGATTCAAACCGATGTTCCCATATGGGATGCTGGCATCACAGCTGGAGGCTGAACCCACTGCACCACAAAGCCAGCCCCATGATTCACCTGTTTAGCAAGCGTTTACTGAACACCTTCCATCCATCAGCATGCTGCTGGGACTAGAGGTACAACGATGAGAAACCAGGCAGGGCCCCAGGCTCTCTGCAGTGTCAGACCTTCCAGCCAGGAGAGAAGATAGATGCTCAAGCAAACAATGACAAGCACTGTGGGGTGGTTGTATGCGACCCGACAGATCCCAGCGGGCCTGGTGGGAAAATCTGCACCCCCACTCCACCCCTTCCCCCACTGAGGGCCTGGGCCTTGTGTTGATGCTTGCAGAGTGAGTCTGTGTCTTCTCAACCCACAGGAGGGGCTGTCTCCGTGCCACCTGTTGACAGTGAGGGTCATCCGGATGAAAAACGTGCGGCAGGCCGATGTAGGTGAGTGCCCTCCTCTGCTCGCGGGGCCTGCATGGACAGAGGGCCTGGCTGGGGAAGTGGGCAGGTGCATGTGTGTGGGTTCTGCTCTGCATTCCTGACTTGGAGATTTATGAGTTTTCCAGGCCTCTCACTCTTAGCCACACCAGCTGTTGTGCCTGCATCCATCCGAGAGCTCTGTTTGCCCACCCCCTCCCACTCTGCCCCTCCCCCCTCCTCCCCACTGTCTCCTGGAATCCATTTTCAGGAGCACCGGCCTCTCTCATGTGACACCTCCTGGACGTGGTTTGATAGCCAGGGCTGTTTGTGTAGTGTTTTCTTACATCCTAACCTCCCCTCTATCCCAGCTCTCACTGAACTGCCAGCCCATGGGGCCCTGGAAAGCCCTCGGCTTCAGGAAGAAGTGAAGGCATCTGAGTAGGCACAGTACCAAAGACCTCTACCCATGCTGGGCCTTGCCTTGTTCCCACCCAGAGAGGACACTTGTCCCCCAAAGAGGAGAAACTCTGTACCCACACGCCACAGCTGTGGGCAGTGTGCATGCACTGGTGACCATGCGGATTGGTTCAAAGGCCACAGGGTTCCCCCAGGCTAGGGAAGTCACAAGAGGGGCAGAAAAGCCTCATAGCAGGTACTGAGTATACATTTTAGCAGGGGAGACATTTCTGCCTAAAGCAGTTGATAGGCTAGAAGATAGCAGTCCAACCTTGTCACCCCAGGATTTAGGGCCAGAGGAAAACCCTGAGAGCTGGGAGGGCTCAGGAAGGCTGCGCTGAGGGCTTGGTGTCTGAGAGAGACAAGATGTGAGCATCGGGGCCCATGTTGTGGTGTAGCAGGTAAAGCCTGCACGTGTGGCGCTGGCATCCCGTATGGGCATTGGTTCAAATCCCAGCTGCTCCACTTCCAGTCCAGCTCTCTGCTAATGCACCTGGGAAAGCAGTAGAAGATGGCCCAAGTGCTTGGGCCCCTGCAGCCATGTGGGAGACCCAGAAAAAGCTCCTGGCTTGGGTCTGGCCCAGCCTCGACCATTGTGGCCATTTGGGGAGCAAACCAGCAATAGAAGAACCCTTGTAAAAATAAATATTAAAAAAAAAAGCAGTAGAGCAGGAAAAAGAAGTAGTACAGTAGTTTAAAAAAAAAAAAAAGAAAGAAAGAAAATGCCAGGGAGCAGGATCTGGGGACAGGGTAGCCTGAGAATGGGGCAGCCAGCCTGGGCCACTCCCAACCCCATCTGACCCTGCCAACTACCTGAGGGCAGTCCTGGGAGGCCCGTTTTGCAGATGTGGGGTTAATGATGACCTAAGGTAGAGGCATTGTTAGGTCTGGAGGAGCGTGGGCAGTCCCAGAACAGGGGGCGGAGCCAGAGGGTAGAGAGCCCGGAAGCTGGAGGCTGGAGGCCGGAAGCTGGAGGCAGGAAGCTGGTAGAGAAGGCATCGGTGCATTCTAAGTGAGGGGTGCCTGAGCACTTGAGGAAGGGATTGAGTCACTTCCTACAGGCTCAAGGCAGGTTGTGCTGGAGCATAGCGTGGGAGAGGCTGGAAACTGGCAATGCAGGGATGAGTGTGGAGGGCAGAGGCAGGTGGGCCCTGCAACACAGAAATGGCAAAGGAACCCAGCAGGAGTGAGACAGAGCCTCATTGCCAGTGGAAGCAGTTCCAGCCATCCTCGTGCTTGAGCTTGTGTCTGCTTAGTGACTGGCCGGAGGGCCCGGACCTCACCACTGGCTTCTTGGGGCTTCTGCAGCCCACCAATGAGTGACTTAAGGAGCTAGGACGCACCCCCGGGCCTGCACTGCAGCCTCTTCCTTTGGCCTTCTTGTCCCTGCTATGGTGGGTCACTCAGACACTTCACCCCTTCTTGGGCAGAGGTCACCCCCTCCCCTCAGCGACCACCCCAGCTCCTGTAAGCCCACAGCAGTGCTCCCCTTCCTGCAGTTCCTCTTGGGTTGTATATGTGCCAGCCCTTGGAGTCACCGTGCCACAGACTCACTCTACATGCCTGCATTACATACTCAGACCTCCTCATTGTCCAGGCCCTTTCTTCTGTCCTCTCCCTGCCATACCTGTCACCCAGAGAAACATACAGGTTTGGTGTTACCAGGCTCCTCTCCCCCTCCTCCTTCCCCCGTTTAGCCCTCTGGCATGAAGGCTGCTGTTGGGGGTACCTGGTCCTCTGTGAGAACCCACTGCCTAGCAAAGTGAAGGACGTGTATGAGGGAGCCACCCCGGTCACGTCATGTCAACTCCTCGGTTGTCACAGCCCTGTTGTTGAACTATCCCAATGCCTTTTGGGTCTTGGGTTACAAATGCTTGAAATTGTTCCCTTCTAGCTTGAATCCAAATAAACCACTCTTGTTAGTTCTTCAAGCTGTGTCTAAATTTCCCAAAGCTTCAAAGAGGCTAAAACACAAAGGAAACACTGGATAATGCCCTTACCAAGAACTAAAACAGTGCTCCACCGAGACCTGGGCCAGAACCCAGAACCTCCCAGCCATCAGGAGTTTCTATTCCTCTTGGGGAGGTAAATTGAAACCCAAACCAGCACCCCAAGGGTTGTCAGGCAGGTGTCTCCAGAGGGAGACATGTTCTGAGCATCCGTGGAGATAATTGAGTCATCTCTCCCACCCATGATCCAGGAAAGGAAACTTGTCATTCAAATGACCAAGCCCTCTGTCACTGTGAGACAAACAGGGACTGGAGCTTCTGTGTGCTTAGGAAATCCCCTGTAGTCCACAAAGCCCTGTGAACTGGCTCAACACTGCTTAACCACTCTTCATGACCAATGTGATGGTCACCGTCCTCACTCAGCTTAAGGTGCCTGCCCCACTGTCGTCCGCCCTGGCTCACCTTCCCCACCCTCACCTTCCCTGGAGTCACCCTCTCCTTGGGCTGCACCCTCTTTCTTCCCAACACAGGGGTGTGGGTGGCAGGGGTGGGGACAGAGAGGAAACAGCTCTCTGCACAAGAACTGAAAAATCACTTGGAATGTGGGTGTCTAATCTGCCTTCTTTTTTTTTCTTCCAGGAATATCTTTAGCTTAACTAGACATGTAAACCTTAGTGCAAACATACTGAGATTTTGCTTAATGAGCTTAATGAGAGGATTCTAGGCATGGGCAGTTGACAGAAAAATGATTTTAGAAGGAAAGGGACTTTTAAAGCATCCATCAAATCATGCATGCTAAGCAAAAGTTGTAAAGACAATGGATTTAGAGTGGTTTGTGCCTGCCTATGGGCTCCTGCTGCACAGACCCAAGGGGAATGTTCCAGACCTAGGAGGAGAAGCTGGTGTCTGGGAGAAGTCAGGGGAGGGGTCTGAGTGGACTGGGCAGGTCCCCTGTGAGTCTCCCTATTGGCAGAGCAATTAGACACGCTAACTGGCCTACCTGTCTGCAGTCACTCAGCCCAGGATTTCTTGGGGACTGACAGGGTCTTTAGCAGGAGGTTCAGTTTTTCCTTTCAACTCATTCATTCAGTAAATGTTCAGGCAGTGCCTGCTGTGTTCCAGGACATGGTCTCCCAGCCCTTGCAGTGTTCACAGTGTAACAGACAGATGCGTCCACCTGCCCTTGAAGCACTGTGTGGAAAGTGCTCTTTGGGCAGGAACAAAGGACTCGGGGCTAGGGTGGCACCTGGCCCAGGCTTAGCTCAGGGACGTCTTCCAGAGGTGGCTCTTTCCAAAAACTGCAGGGATTAGCCTGGAGAAGAAAGGGTGAAAGAAGAAGGGAAGGGTGTTCCAGGCAGAAGGAACAGCTTGTGCAAAGGCCTGGAGGCAAGACAGCACGGCACCCTTGAAGATACCTGAGTAGTCGGGTTTGGCAGTCGTCATGAATGTGTGTGGGAGTGTGCACCTAAGTGTGTGCTTGCGTGCAGGGTCGGAGAGAGACTAGGGAGGTTGGAAGAGGAGACAGAGGCAGCCCTGTTCAGTGGAAGCTGTTAAAGAATCTTAAACCAGGAAGGCTCATATCTAAAATATCCCTCTGGCTTCTCTTGGGGCAAAAGATTGGAGTAGGGCAGGACAGGGGACAGGAGCCCATTTGGGAAGCGGCCCCAGAGATAATGGTGGCCTGCACCAAGGCCGTGGCAGTTCAGATGAGGAGAGGGTGAGCCTGAGAGACGGGAAGAGTTGAACCAATTCAGTGTGGAGGTCAAGGATGATGCTTGGTTTCTGGCCTGGACACCCAGGTGGGTGAGGAGGAGCAGGTTGGGCATGGAGAGATGGGTGGGGATGATGGAGTCATCATTTTCCATTGATTCTGTTTGGTTTGGGTTATTCTTTAGCCTGGATTAGATGATCATTATGCCATTTTTCAATGGGAGGAGGGCTGTGAATTCCAGTTCACTGAATGGTGAACCCTCTAAGATGAACCAGACATCACGGGTGAAGTCAGAAACCAGGAGCACTTGATTGCAAACCGTGACACTGATAAAGCTTTCAGCCTGGTAACAATGCAGGACTAAGTCCCAGAGGGCAGCCCTGCTTCCTCTTTCATTAGCAATCATTAGTAATTACGAACCAGTTTGGATCAGTCCTACCAGTACAGAACTGCCATCCTCATACCAACGTTACCACCTCGAGGGCTCTGACGCTAGAAGTGGTTTTGACTCTTCCTGCTTTCCATGTATCTCGTGTGCATCCTGAAATTTATTTTTGTAGATTGCCAAGGGAGTGATACAGGCAATTGTGGCCCCTCCTCTTCCCTCCTCTGCTCCTCAGGAGCCAGCCTGGGCTACTGTTTTTCACCCTATCCCTCTTACTTTTCCAACCAGAAGACGCAGAAGGCCTTCCTCCACTGTGGGAGAAGCCTGGGGGGTCAAAGCCTTGTGCCCTCTCCAGAACGGGTCCAGCAGCGTCACATTTGGGTCGTTCATTTACAATGAAAAAGAACGTGTGAGCCCCGTATGTGAGGGTTTGGGGTCATAAACATCATGTGGAGGCCCAGGACAGGTCCAGAGGGCCTGGCTAGTGGCAGTTGAGGCTTTAAGCCATGTGGAGATGCCGGTCCCTGCTTATCCATCCTGCAAACACCTTGCTCCATCTAAGCCCTTCCTGGGCTGACTCCCTTCCAGTCCTCACTTCTCCTCAGCTCAGAGGAGGAGCTCGACCCTACTTTCTGGTTAAGGCTAGAAGTAAGCTGGACCCTTCAGGGATGGCCTTCTAGATCTTTCCATGGCTGAGGGAAAACTGTGCAGCCATACCTTGTCCCACACTGGTAGCTGTTTAAAGACCAAGGTACTTCTGATGAGAGCCAGAGGTTGTGTCCATGAGAATGGTCCGTGGGACCTGGGCTCTGCCCTGGCCAGCCTGCTGTCTGTGATCTTCTCAGAATTCTAGGACAAAGGCCTCTGGAGGGTTAGATTCGTGGGTCAGAGGGGCCTGGAGCTGGAGGGGGCCTTGCTCTGGAAGAGGCTTGCCTGAGAGGCCCTTCTGTCACCACACTCTTTCCTCTTCGAACCTGAGCTGGTTCCTCACCCTGCCGTCCACCCCTGTCTCCCTTGGACAGTGAGCCAGACTGACTGCTATGTGAGCCTCTGGCTTCCCACTGCCTCTCACGAGAAGCTGCGGACCAGGACCATCTCCAACTGCCCAAACCCAGAGTGGAATGAAGCCTTCAACTTCCAGATCCAGAGCCAAGTCAAGGTGAGACACGAGGCCTGCACCTGTCTGCCTGCCTGCATTTCTAGTCCCCTCTTGCCTCCTCATCCTTTGCTTGCTTGTGTGTCCTTTGGCCCGTTTCCTCTTCCTTCTGCCCACTTGTCCTACCCACTGTCTTCCCACTCATCCACTACTTCCCCCTGCCTGGCTCGTGCTTATCTCTCTCTGTCTACTCATCCTTCCACCTTCTTCCTGGTCTCAGTTGTCTTTCTATCCAATTGCTGCTGGTACTGGTGTCTTTTGCCCCCAAAACATGGCTTCTGGTACCTTCCAGAGCATGCTTTGAGCAGAATACACAGAGGGAAAAAGCCATTCTATATACTAGTTCCAAGGCCAGTCAAGATTCCACCCAAAGGGTTCTGTCTTCCTTGAATCCTTTACAGATTCATCTTCTGTTTCTATTTCTGTGGGTGTGTTTTCCTGTGCCTTCATTTGTTGAATTCTTGTTCCACTTGGTAAGCCTTTTTCAGATATATGGTGACCTAGGTCAAGTTCACATCTCTGCTGGGAGAATGGCCCCTCGAACATCCTGAGTTGTAACATCCTCTGCAGAAAACTTTTAAGACCAATGTGGCCTCATCGTGGAGGCATCAACCCACTGTGAGGCACTGGCTCAACAGCGCCAGCTTGCTGCTATGTGGATGCTTTCCCATTTCTAGGGCATGAAGTCCTTTTTGTATTTCCTTTTTGTATTTCTTATTTTGAAAACACCTTTTCTATCATACAAATCAGTTTGGAGAAGGAGGAGGATTTCCTTGTAGGCTTGTCTGCCATCTTGAAATCAGCATTGGGGCTTCCTTTTTCTTAAGGATTATGGGGCCGCTGTGTTGGTTCTGGGGCATACTGGGTTTCTGTTCATTACAAGGTCGACAGAACTCATCTGGTTGAGAAGCCCCAGAACCACCTTAGGTTTGCTAGATAGGGAGCTAAGAAGCAAACTCAGCCGCAGCCCCATATCTCCCAGGATTCTTGCAACAACTTGAGACCACTGACCTCAGAGTTCAGACAGATTGGGGGATGGGGGTGAGGGGAGAGGCTGCCTGCCTCACTGCTTTGGAAACATTCATGAGGCCTTCTTAGGGGTAGATGAGCCAGTTGTCAGAAACTCCTGTCTTTCTGCCTCCCTCTCTGGAGTGTCGAGGTGTTAGCTTCCTGATCCGGGCTTTGCAGCTCCGCAGGGCCCACGGCTGGATACCCTCTACATCTTGGCAGGGTCTTGCTTGCTCTCTCCTTCTGTCCTCTCCCAGGTGAAGTGAAATCCCTCCGTACTTCACTCTCTGCCAAGCGGGTGGAAGGACAGAATTCTCCAGCAGGGGGCCAGGGCAGAGGCGGAGGAAGGCTTCGGAGAGCTGGGCAGCAGGGGCAGAGGCTTCCTTCCCTGAGTTCCTTTCCCCTCCTGGGTCTCTCTCAGCTGAGCAGGGCCTCTGTGCCGGCTTCCCGACCCTGAGAGCCAGCTCCTTGCTGGGATGGAAGTCAGGCCACCAATCTGAGGAAAGGGTCAGTGCAACCATGGCAACCAGACTCGCACCCTCCCTTCTCCCTTAGAATGTGCTAGAGCTGAACGTCTGCGATGAAGACAGGGTGACACCGGATGACCATCTCTTGACAGTTCTCTATGACCTTGGCAAGCTCTGCTTCAGGAAGAAAACCCACGTGAAGTTCCCACTCAACCCAGAGGTAGGTGTGGGGGTCCAGGACCTCGGTCTCCTGCCTCACGGTCTGTGGACCCCCTGCTGTGTACACAGCCCAGCTGGGGGAAGGTGATGCTGCTGGTGCAGGTCCCAGTGCTAACTGTGTGATTGCACAAAACTCACTGAATTCCTCTGCGTTTCTGTTTCCTGGTCAGTACGCAGGCAGTAATAACACCTACCCACAGCGCTGCTGTGAGGCTCGCCTGAGACAGCGTAGAAGGCACCTAGTGTGTTCACAGTTCCAAAGGGAAAGGTAGTCAGTGTGGGCTCCCTTTGCTCCTTCCTCCATGTCCTCTGGGTAGGACAGCAGAGGGGAGGGGAGGGCAAATCCACCAGAGGAGGTCTGGGCTGAAGAGTACCAAGATGTTCTGGCATCGACCATCATACAAGTACTGGAGCACCTGCTGTGGGCCTGGGGAACTGTCAGGGAGCAGGCATTCCAGCCCTCACCTGGCTTCTATCCAGTGGGGAAACGGAGGCCGAGGGAGGCCAGAGGTGTGCAGGTAGTGCAGGAAGGAGTCCCACCTCTCAGCGCTCAGGGCTCCCTTGCCCCAGGCCCCAGGCCCTGGGCCTCTGCTTGGGCAGGAGAGCAGTGGGGGGCTGGGGCAGGGATGAAAAGGAAGTGGCTTGGGCACTGAGGAATGTACACGTTAGGGCTGGGTTAGCTCCACACCCTGGGTTGTCGGCCATGCTCCTATGTCGAAGACTTGGGGACAGAGAGAGGCAGAGGGAGCTGTCCGGAGTGCTTGCCACGCGGCAGCAGGCAGTGTGTGGGACGGGCAGGCAGCTCCATGGCAGCTCCTTCTCAGCAGGCTTTGCAGACTTGCCTCACGGTTGTCTTACCTTTCCCCCTCCTCCCCGCCAGGGCATGGAAGAGCTGGAGGTGGAGTTCTTGCTGGAGGAGATGTGAGTAGGCCCAGCCCCTAGCGTCTGCCAAGGTCCTGGCCTTCTAGTGACTTCCAAAACTGTCTGCCTCTGCCATCCTCTCTCTCTCTCTCTCACTCCTGACACTCACCCTGGGCTCCTCACTGTGCATCAGAATCACTTGGAGCCTGGGCCCCAGCCCTATGCATCCAGTTCCCCTGACGTCGTATTACTTTAAAGATTGGTTCTTGGACCACGTGACCTGTCTCTGTTGCCCAGCATTCGGGTGGCCTATGGAAAGAATTCCTACCACCAGGGCCAGCATTGTGGTGCAGCAGGTTAAGCCATCTGTGCCTGTGGTTCTGGAAATCCCACATGAACACCGGCTCGAGTCCTGGCTGCTCCACTTCCGATCCAGCTCCTGCTAATGTGCCTGGGAAGGTAGCAGAAGATGACCCAAGTACTTGGGCCCCAGTCACGCACATGGGAGACCCAAATGAATGTCCAGGCTCCCGACTTTGGCCTGGTCCAGCCCTAGCCATTGCAGCCATTTGTAGAGTGAACCAGAGATGAAATCTCTCTCTCTCTCTCTCACTGTGCCTTTTAAAGACATGAGTGAATGAATGAATGAGTGAGTGAATAAATAAAATGACTTCCTGCCACGTGGAGTGGAGACTCCTCTATTGAGGCCCAGCTGAGAAGAGGGCAAGACCCAGGAGTCTCTTCCCTGAACCAGCACTGCTGGAGCAGACAGCTCAACCCTGGCACAAAGCAGAGGCCGTCCCTCTCTGCAGCCAGCTCTGAAACTCTGTCAGGCAGTGTGTGTGTGTTTGTGTGTGTGTCAGGATGCAGGGTTGATTCCAGTCATTTGCAATTACGAAGACAACCCAGGGTCCTGTAGGTGTGACTGGGCCATGTGCCTGGAGCTGGAGGACAGGAAGGGAAGAGGCCCCTGGAGGGGCCAAGCCTCCACCTGAAGAGGGCAAGTGCCTTGGTGCTTTGTGACCAGGCAACCTGCTCCTTCCCTGTTTTAAGTTTTGTTTTTAAAATTTACTTACTTATTTGAAAGGCAAAGTTACAGAGAGAGAGAAGATCAGGGCTTCTGTCTGCTACTTCTATATTCTGTTTGCTATCTTCCCAAATAGCCACAACACCTGGGGCTGGGCCAGACTGAAGTCAGCAGCTTCTTCTGTCTCTTCTACAGGGGTGCAGGGGCCCAAACACTTGGTGCATCTTCCATTGCTTTCCCAGGCACATCAGCAGGGAGCTGGATGAGAAGTGGGACAGCGGGGACATGAACCAGTGCCCATATGGCAGCTCAACCTGCTATGCCACAATACTACCCCACCTCCCCTATTTTTAACCCTGGTGGAGCTGAGCCCCCTTTACTTAAGATCCACCCAAGGTCGGGAGAGGAAGAGGGGCATGAGAGAGGACAAGAGGACTTGTGAGTTACACGTGGAGGACCCTCTGCGGGTGTGTGTGTGTGTGTGTGTGAAACCACTAGAGGCACTCCATTTCCCACCAATACTTGTTGACCAATAAAATCAACTTTGTCCACTTCACATGAATGAAAATCTAGGCTCTTTTCTCCAATTCTTGGTTTTGCAGGACTTGGAGAGGGAAAAAGTCCTTGGTTCAATTAGAATGTGATTTGCCAAATGAGATATGTCAAAGTTGGTAATGAGTTGATCTGAATAGTCATCTTTAAAAAACATTTATTTATTTGCAAGTCAGTTATCGAGAAAGAAAGAGAGACAGAGATCTTATATCTGTTGGTTCAGTCCCCAGATGGCCCCAATAGCCAAGACTATGCCAGGCCAAAGCCAGGAGCTTCTTCCAGGTCTCCCATTTGAATGTAGGAGCCCAAACACTTGGACCATCCTCCATTGGTTTTTCCAGGCCATTAACAGGAAGCTGGATCAGAAGTGGACCAGCTGGGACATGAACTGGTGCCCAAATGGGATCCTGGCATCGCAGGTGGTGACTTTTACCTGCTACACCACAATGCCAGTGCCAGCAATAATCTTTTTTAATTTTTTAAAATTTATTTGAAGGGCCGAGTTACAGAGAGTGTGAGAGAAAGAGAGTGAGAGAGAGAGAGATTGATCTTCCATCTACTAGTTCACTTCCCAAATGGCCACAACAGCTAGGGCTGGGCCAGGCCAAAGCCAGGAGCTAGGAACTCCATTTGGGCCTCCCACGTGAGTGCCAGGGCCCAAGGACTGGGGCCCATGCTCCACTGCTTTCCCAGGTGCATCAGCAGTGAGGTTGGTCAGAAGTGGAGCAGCCAGGACTCGAATGGGTGCCCACATGGGATGCCAGCTTCACAGGTGGCAGTTCAGCCTGCACAGTGCCAGCTCCTGAAGGCAGTCACCTTATATTTAATCTCGGACTTATATTTAAACAGTGGACTGCTCTAAACCAAGTGTCACCTTCGAGGCTCGAGTTCGGAACCTTGTGACCCAGGAACACTCAACAGTCACCAGACCCCTCTGTGACTGGCTCAGCACGCTCTGTGAAATGCACCTGTCGAATGAGGCACAGAATGGGGAATGGGCCATGCCGGCTCGAGTTGGTGGGCTGCAGCCCCTTCTTGCAACCTCTTCCTAACCACACACACTCGCACCTGGCTGGACATAAAAAACAGTTGTCTTTTTGTTAAAAAGAAGAACTCCTAGCCCTTCTGTGCTATCCCTCTGTTTCTTTCTGGACATTTTGTTCAAAGTGGATCCTGGTCTCCTCCTTGACAAGTTCCCTGTCTCAGGTTATGGCTGAGCTTTCTGTGGGGAGGGAGGAGGCTCCGCCGCTTTGCTGCTGGCCCCAGCTGTATCTGTGTCACAGCCGCGAGCTACTGCTCGCGAATGACGCCGCTTATCTCTGGTTCTCGTTTTGTTTTCCAGTCCCTCTCCACCTGAGACTCTCATCACCAATGGCGTGCTGGTGGTAATTGTCCTTCCGGGTTCCCTAGCCACCTGGGCTGCTGTAGTTCTCAGAGGAGAGAGCACTGGGCCTAGCGTGGGTCTTTGTCCCATCCAGGGCCCAGTAGAATCAGACTGAAAGAAGCCAGCCAGATAGGGTACAGGCAGGCATGGGGCGCAGCCAGAGCTCCTGCATCCGGGGAAGAGGTAGCTGGCATGTCACTTGGGCCCAACGCCTCATATCCCACCCAGACAGCCCCTATTCTTAGGAACCTCGCAACTAAAGGAAGCTGCTGGAGGAAGCTTCTGTTCCTCCCATCCCTAATCCCTCCGCAAGCATATTCATAATCCAGCTGTTGGCACAGCTGTTTTGCTTCAATGCATCCGATGATCCTGGGGGTCCAAGGAGACCCCTACCTCTGACAGCAGAGGCTTGGGGAGTTTGTGGCTCAGAACTCCGGCCTGCCCTCTCTTCTCGGGGCTGTTCTGTTGGAAGCTCTCATTTTCTGACCCCAGAGCAGAACGTTCTGTCAGGTCGGGCCCCTCACCAGCTGCCGAGACTGTGACCCGGTAACTGGGGCGGTGGGGTGGGGGGCTCCCAGAGCTTAGGGAGCAGCTCCGTTCTCAGGCAGCCTGTCTCTTAGCCAGGTGGCAGGCCGTCATAGGGTTCAGAGAGTGGGCTCGGCATGCCACTGCCTCAACCTGCTGGGCCCCTGAGGCCTCGGGGAGGGAGGAGGGAGCTTTGCTCAGCGTCTCGGTGACGCCCCTGACTCTGTTACAGTCTCGGCAAGTCTCCTGCCTGGAGGTCCACGCGGAGTCCAGGAGGCGGAGGAAGAGAAAGAAAAGTGAGCCTTGGACCTGCTCTGCCTGCGGTGGGGAGAGCGCAGCTTCAGGCGCAGCCTGGGCCAGGACTTGCCTGGAACCCAAGGCTTGGCCGAATGGCCTCCAAATCATCTCTCCCAGGAGGCTGTGACTGCCTGTCCTCCCCAGCCTGCTCCATCAAGGGCGTGTGCGTCCAGGCCCCTCACGTGACCCTGCCAGTTCCCCAGGCTTGGCCAGCGTCCTGAGCCTAGGTCCCAGGGCTGCCTACGCCAGTGTGCTACATCCCTGCCAGGCCCTTGGGTTTCCTGCAGTGGGGGAGGCCGACAGCTCTCGGGGGCCCCTCCAGCTGTGCCCCTTCCTCTAGGCACAAACCCTGGGCTTCCACCCCCTTCCCACCATTCAAGGCTTCCATCCTTGTCCTATAGATGTGAGGGAAGGAGAGAGGAAGAGACCCCTGTTCCCGCACTGACAGTAAGATAAGCACCTGTGTTCTGTGCAATGAGCAAGTGACCTGGGGAACCAAGGAGGACTGTGGGTGTCTCAGAAGAGCTATCTGAGGAGCACAGGGGCCAGCGTCCCTCACCAACCTTGTTAAAGTGCAGTTTCCTGCGCCAGCCCTGCATACACAGTGGGCATCTCTGGGGCATCGTACTGGTGCCCAAGTGACTCCAGACCCCACCTGGGCCCCTCCAAGAGCTTTACGCTGGGCCAGGTGGGGGTGGGGAGCAAGAGGCTTCCCTGGGACCTCACCCTCATGTCTTGTCTCCCAGTGAAGGACCTCTGGGTGATGGTGAGCGAATCCTTTGAGAACACCCAGCGCATCTCACCCTGCCGGGAGCCCTGCTGCCCGAACCCTGCCTGCTTCCACTACCCCAAGTACTTCCAGCCCCAGTTGCATGTGGAGGTGCCCAAGAGTCACTGGAGCTGTGCGGTACAAGGCGGCTACCATGGGGGGAGGCCTGGGCAGGGGGCCAGGCTGGGGCTCCCAGAAGGGTCCCTGACCCCTCACAGAGCCCACCCACCCTTCCTTCCAGCTCTGCTGCTGCAGCACGCGCAACAACGGCCCCGTGTGCCAGCCCCTCGACTGCCTTTGCGACGGCCAGGCGGTGACCCTACCCGTGGTGAGGCCCGGGCCTGGGAAGCATCCTGACCATTTAGCCTGGAGCTGCCGAGGCAGGGAGATGGGGAGCTGCTGCGGGATGGGGGAAAGGTGACTGTGGGGGCTCAGGCACGACAGAGGGGTCCTGCGGGCTAGGAGCCAGAGAGGAGCTGAGGCTGAGATGAAGATGGTGGGGAGGGTCACATCCAGAAGAGGGGCACTGGCCGGAGCGTGTGGACGCGCATGTGCGTGCGTGCTGAGTCACGCCTGGGCGGGGCCGGGTTTACCATGTGTGATTAGCAGCCCTGGGCCCTGCCTCGTCTTCTCTGACAAGTTTTTCATCTTGCCTTCCCAGGGTGAGAATTATGAGTTACACATGAAGACTACGCCCTGGTAAAGTACCCTCTTTCGGTCCTCCCTCTGGCGAGTTCGTGCCAGCGGCGGGGAGGTGTCGTCTCGCCCTGGCTTTGACTTGGCCTCGCTGATGGCTGAGGGTGCTGAGCTCCTTCTGTAGCTTGCTGGCCGCTGTGTTTCCTCTTTGCCTCTGGGGCTGTTCACATCCTTCGCCCGCTGCCTCATTACTGTTAAGGTGTAAGCAAGCCCTCTTTGTATATCCCAGAGACATCCCTGTCTGATACCCGATTTGAAAACACCTCCTAGTCTGTGGCTTGGCTTTTCGTGTTCTCGGTGATGTCCACTGAGAAGCAAAGATTTTTAATTTTTTCTTTGTCACTTATGCTTTTGGTGTTGTGTCTAAGAAACTGTCTCCTAATGCAGAGTTGTGATGTTTTCTCCCAAGACTTTGCTAGTTTTAGGTCTCACTTTGAAGTTTGTGGTTGATTTTGAACTAATCTGTGGATGCGGTGTGTGAACTCAGGGAGCCACCATCACTCTCTCACATGTGGGGACCCAGTCATCCCAGCACCACTTGTTGAAAACACTGTTCTTTCTCCATGAGTTATCTGGACATCTTCACTGAAAATCAGTGATGTAGCATAATTTCTATTTAGAGCCTGATTAGCTGTTTGGCCTTGGACAAGTGGTTTAATCTTGCTGAGTCTGTTTACCTCATCTCTAAATAGGGAGGAATAACGAGAACCCCACACATCAGTGGGCTGTGCTGCTGATCCAGTGAGATAGCACACGAGAAATTCTCAGTCCCCTGTCAAGCAAAGACTGACCAGTGCTATTGTTACTCGCACTGCATTATTATTCGTTATTTGTGGCGGCCCAGGAAAGAAGTATTTCCTTACAGCTGTGCCTGCAGTCTTGTGCTAGCCGCGAAGGAGAGAAACGGCCCTGCCTTCCAAGAGATGGGGCATTGTTAGTGAGCCAAGTCTCAGGTCCGCGCACCCGGGCTCCCTGGGGAGCTGGGTGGTGCTTCTGGGGAAGGCAAGGGTCTGGACAAAGGCTCAGAACTCTCACTGCTCCTGGGGAGCCTGGGAGCCTGGGAGCCTGATTGGTGGCTTGAAGTGAGGTTGGACAGGGCAGGTAGGGTCACAGCGCCAGGCCAGGAGGTGGGGCTTGTTCAGGACAGGGACGGGATCAGAAGAGGACAGGCCCTGGGCGTATCCTGGCCCCTGGGGCGGACTCCGTGGGATGAGGCGTATGCAGTTCGTATCAGCTGCACAGACATTCAGCGAGGAGATTATTGTGTGAGCAGGAAGAGCTCAGTGAGGGGCGCGAGCTCGGAGGGATGGGGCGCTTGATTTCCTCGCTCAGAAGTCTACGCTCAGGCCCTTGTCCGGAAGGACGGGCCCAGCAGCTCTCGGGACCTGGGCACCCATATCTGGCTGCTGTGGGTACGAAGGGCACCTGGGGAAGCCTCTGTAGGCTTTGCAGCCCGTGCCAAGGAGGCAGGGAGTTCGAAGAGTCCCTAAACCAAGAACCAGCAGTGGTCTTTGCCTGAGGACTGGCTTAGAGCATCTCGCTAAGGCTCTGAGAGTTTGACATTTGTCACCTCATTAATTGCCAAAGATAATGCATCATCCAGCCCATTTCATAGAGGAGAACATGGAGGCTCAAGGTCACAGAGGTGGTCCATGGCAGAACTGGGCTTCAAACCTAGTTGAACAACTGACCCTAAAGCCATGGCTGCTCCTTCAAGCTGGAGACGACAGGCCCGCTCTGCCCCGCCCTCTCTCCCCACAGCCCCGAGACCTTGGACGTGAGGCTGGGCTTCAGCTTGTGCCCAGAGGAGCAGGAGTTCGTGCAGAAGCGGAAGGTGGTGGTGGCCGAGGCGCTGAGGCACGTGCTGCAGCTGGAGGAGGACCTGCAGGCGGATGAGGTGGGTGTGGCCGGGCCCGGGCCTCTGGGGGCCGAGCTGCTCCTTCCACCGCCATGGCTCGTCCCTATCCGGGCGCCACCCAGCCCTGCGGCAGCCTGGCCCCAGCTCTGCTCCCTGGTTGCTCCTGCGTGGGGGTGCAGGGGTGAGGGCCATGGGTGCTGTGACTCATGCAGCCACCAAGGGAGGTAGAATAGGGTGGAGAGGGAGGAAGGGGCTCCCTGCTTGTCCCTGGGCTACCAGAGGCTGGCTGAGCGCCTCACCCCAGCCAGGAAGCATTTTCAGCTCCACCACCTCCAGCAGCTGACACCCCCACCCAAAAGGCCGTAGGTCCTCCCAGTTCTCTCGCCTGCAGTTCTCTCGCCTCTCAAATACACACACAGACACACCCCCAGAAATCACAGCAGCAGCCGGCAGCTGGCGGGAGGTGGGGGGCATCTCCCAGTGCCTCCCCCAGGCCCTATCGCTTCTTCCCAGGGAGCAGACACCAGGCCCTCATCAGAGCCCTGGCTGGCCCCTGGCGTGCGCCTGGGCAGCGGCTGAGCCCTCGGAGCACCCACCTTCCCGGCTGGCCTTAGCAGGCTGTGTCCGCCTGAGGAGGCCTTGTGACTGGGCTTCAGCTGAGAGAAGGATCTTCCAGTGCCTACCCCCGGGAAAACAGCGCTCCTTCTCCCTGCCACCTGTGGGAAGCTTACCCAGGGCATCGTAAACTTGTGGCGGCCCAGCGGTAATCACTGTTTGGGCCTCTCGTTCAAACATTCATCTACTCCTGTTCTCACAAATACAGTATGTAGGGCGAGGGTGGGCTGCAGGGGCCAAGATGCTACCCGGGACTCCACCTCCCATATCCGAGTGCTTCTGGCTCCTCCCTCCAGCCTCCTGCTAATACTCACCATGGGAGGCAGTAGCTGATGGCTCGAGTACGTGGAAGACCTGGATGGAGTTCCAGGCTCCTGGCTGCCGCCTGATGCAGCTCTGGCTGTTGTGGGCATTTGGGGAGTGAACCAGCAGATGGAAGATCTCTCTCTATCTGCCTGTCTCTGTCTCTCTGCTTTTCAACCACGGGGTGTACTGAGCACATCCCACGTGCTGGGCCTGGGCCTGGGCCCTAGCACAGTTCCACCCACAGAAGACGTGGCATTGGCAGCATTAAGGAATCACACATGAGCTGGGCCCTTGAGCGAGCCTCCCACACCCTGGGCCCCGGTGGATCATCTGTTAGCCGAGGGCTGCACTAGCAGTACTGAGAGCTTACCAGGCTCCATTAGGCTTCAGAGCCCTTCACTGACAGAGGACGGTTTTTGGGTCACTTAGCGCCCCCCTCCCCTTTACTGCTCTCCACAGCCAGCTCTCCCTCCTCCCCCCTCCTCCCTGAGCTGCCATCCCAAGTAGTCCCTGACATTGTGCCTCTGTGCCGCCAGGTACCGCTGATAGCCATCATGGCCACTGGGGGCGGAGCAAGATCCATGACCTCCATGTACGGCCACCTGCTGGGGCTGCAGAAGCTAAACCTCCTGAACTGTGCCACCTACATCACCGGCCTGTCAGGGGCCACCTGGTAAGGCACTGGGAGCCCAGAGAAGGATTGCACGGGCCGGCCTGGGTCCCTGGTGATGCCCATCCCCTGCCACCCCAGGCTGAAGTGGGCGCTCTTCCACAAAGGCACAGGGACTTGGGTTCTGGATCTGTAAAGTGGGGATAACAAAAGTACTGGGCTCGGGCTGGTGCTCGAGACCGGCCCAGTACCAGGCACACGACAGGCAAGTGCATGCTGGCCATCACCGGTGCTGCCATTTCCCTGAGGCTTTGGCAGGGACCTGGAGTGTGACAGCCAACAGTGAGTGAACCCCTGACGCCACCCGCCCCATCTTGCTGGGAGGGGCAGCCTCCTCTCTCTGTGCTGTGCCAAGTCTCCTGGTGCAGTGCCCTGGTTTCCCTGTGTTAGGAACCACCACCCTTACCCTGCCAAGCCTCCTCCTGCCAGGCTTCCTCGGGCAGCCTGGAGAATGGCAGGCCCCGCCCTGGGCTCTCACCTCCTCACTGTGCCCACAGGAGCCCAGTGCACCTGCAGGAGCCATAGTGCTTGGGGTAGAGGCACAAAAAATGGGTTCATTTCTTCAGTCAGCAGAGAGCAAAGGGGCTTCTGGGCTAAAGAAAATGCTTTACTATATAACCTAGATATAGTTGCCTTTCTACAACACAGTCGGAAATTTAATGTTTCACTTTTTTTGATGATGAAAGAGGCCCACTAGAGTCATCATGTGGCCTTGTGACCACCCAAGGCCCATCAGCCAGAGCTGCATCTTATTCCGTCTATGGCGGTGGGCCCGCGGGTCCCACATGGGCCATCTCGTTTGAGTGGAGGGGGACTGATCCTAGGAACACTAAGAGCTCCTGTGTCCCTGCTCCTTGTCGGGGCCCAGAGACACCAGGCCAGATGGTTCAGAAGGGACGACCAACAGTAGGTGGCTTTGGCTCTCCACCAAGCCCTGGGCCACTGTGTCCTGGAGAGCCTCTCATTTCTCCCTCACAACAAAACTAGGAGGAGGTGCTGTCGTTATTTCACACGGGAGGAACAAAGGATTTGCTATCTGCGGATGCTCCAGTTGCATCGCTTGGATAAATCAGCATAGTCTTGCATATGACCTACGCACACTGCCCCACAGAGCTGAAATCATCTCCAGATTACATATAATATCCAACCCAATGCAAATGCAATAGAAACAGTCCTTATGCTGTCCTTTGTGGGGGGAATAATAGCAAGAAAAAAAGTCTGCATGTTCAGTAGAGACAGAATCTATTTTCAACAATTTTTTCAAAAAACAGTTGTAAGTATATTTTTTTTAAAAAAGATGTTTACTTTATTTGAAAAGCTGAGTTAGAGAGAGAGAGAGAGAGAGAGAGAGAGAGAGATCTTCCATCTGCTGGCTCTCTTCCCCAGGGCTGGGCCAGGCCAAAGATTGGAACTCCATCTGGGCCACCCCTGAGGGTGGCAGGGACTCAAGTATTTGAGCCATCATCTACTGCCTCTCAGGCACATTAGTTGGGAGCTGGATCAGAAATGGAGTAGCCAGGACTCGAACCAGGTACTCTGGTATGGGATGTGAGCTCCCAAGTGGTGGCTTAACCCACCGCACCACAACATCCACCCCTATTTTCAAATATGTTTGCAGCTAGTTGAATCCATGGGTGCAGCATCCATGGATACGGAGGACAACTGACAGCTGGAGAAACAGATTTGCCCAGGGTCACTCAGCTAATGAATGGTAGAGCTGGAATTTCAACCCAGTCCAGGGTCCAGATTCTTTCTTTTTTTTTTTTTTCTTTTTTAGATTTATTTATTTATTTGAAAGGCAGAGTTACAGAGAGAGAGAGGCAGAGGCAGAGGCAGAGGCAGAGGCAGAGGCAGAGGCAGAGAGAGGTCTTCCATCTGCTGGTTCACTCTCCAGATGGCTGCAATAGCCAGAGCTGACCCGTTCTGAAGCCAGGAACTAACTTCTTCCGGGTCTCCCACATGTGTGCCAGGGCTCAAGCTCTTGGCCCATCTTCTACTGCTTTCCCAGGCCATAGCAGAGAGCTGGATGGGAAATGGAGCAGCCAGGACTTGAACTGGCACCCATATGGGATGCCGGCACTGCAGGCAATGGCTTTACCTGCTACGCCACCGTGCTGGCCCCAGGACCCAGATTCTTAACCTCCACATTAGACGGATGCCCATTGTAGTGGGTTAAGAAGGCAACTGGCTTCCAGCATGGTCAAGGGGCATCTGTGTGTGCCTGGACTTCCATGGGCCAGGCAGGAAGCAGGGAGGACCAGTGAGGGTACAGAGGGGAGGCTGGATGATCCGTGGCCTAGGAAAAACACTTGAAAGTATTCTTTAAAAAAAAAATTGCAATTTTTTTTTGACAGGTAGAGTTATAGAGAGTGAGAGAGAAAGAGAGACAGAAAGGTCTTCCTTCTGTTGGTTCATTCCCCAAATGGCCACCACAGCCGGCGCTGCAGCAATCCAAAGCCAGGAGCAGTGCTTCCTCCTGGTCTCCCATGCAGGTGCAGGGGCCCAAGCACTTGAGCCATCCTCCACTGCCCTCCTGGGCCGTAGCAGAGAACTGGACTGGAAGAGGAGCAACTGGGACCAGAACCGGGCACCCACATGGGATGCCGGCACCGCAGGCAGAGGATTAACCAAGTGAGCCATGGTGCCGGCCCCTGCAATTTTTTAAACCTTTTTAAAACTAGAAAAGTTTGGGAGGCGAGGTGCTTTCTGTTGAAGAAATCTGACCTACGCCACCTGCCTGTAGCCAGGTGCGTGAGGGAAGAGGCTGCTGATGTCTTCCCTGCAAGGGGACCCTGCCCTGCCCCGCCCCGGCCTGACACAGCAAAGCTGGATCCAGGGCAAGAAGAGAGAAAGGCAGAGACAGAGGCAGGGCTGGGGAGGGGGCATCTTCCTTTCCCTCCCTCTGCCCTCTGACCACTTTTAAGTTAAGAAGAAGGGGATACAACCTTCAGCCTGCATCACAACCATGGGAACGAATGTGGCGAAGTAGGAGCAGCCAGGGTCTGGAATCAGCAGGCCTGGGTTCAGAGGTCGGCTCCAGCCCTTTGTGCTTTGTGGCAGGCACTGTCCCAACCTCTGTGGCTCACATTAGCTCCTGTAATCTTCCAGTACCCCCAGGAGATAGATGCGGTGAGCGCAGATTTCCCCATTCCGCAGGTGGGAAATGGGGAATGATCAGGTGAACAGTATTTATACTGCTAGTGAGTGGAAGAGCCTGCTCTAAAAAAATATATAAATAAAAGATTTTTTTAAATCAATTTCAAAGGCAGAGTGACAGAGAGCAGAGAGAGAGAATATCTCCCACTGGTTTACTCCCCAAATGTCCACAACAGCCAGGGCTAGGCGAGGCCAAAGCCAGGAGCCAGGAACTCCATCCAGGTCTTCCCTGTGGGTGACAGGAACCCAAGGACTTGGGCCGTCATCTGCTGCCTCCTAGGCACATTAGCAGGGAGGTGGATCAGAAGCACAGAGTAGCCAGGATTTGATGTGGGCTGTAGGAATCTGATACAGGAGGCAGGCATCCCAAGTGGCTGTTTAACCTGCTGTGCCACAGTGCCCACCCCCAGAGCCTGGTTTTGAACTCAGATCAAGTCCAGATTCCTAAGCAGCACACTACATCTGGCACATAGTAGGCATTTAAGACATGGGTGATAGAGCTTGCACTGTGGCAAAGTGGATTAAGCCTTCTCCTGTAGTCCTGGCATCTCATATGGGCACTAGTTTGATTCCTGGCTGCTCCACTTCTGATCTAGCTCCCTGCTAATGTACCTGGGAAGGCAGCGGAAGATGGCCCAAGTGCCTGGGGCCTTGACACACAAGTGGGAGATCTGGAAGAAGCTCCTGGCTCCTGGCTTTGATCTGGCTGAGCCTCAGCCATTGTGGCCATTTAGGGAATGAACTAGCAGATGGAAGATTCTCTCTTTCTCTCTCTCCCTCTCTCTCTCCCTCCCTCTCTCTCTCTGTAACTCTGCTTTTCAAATAAATAAATCTAGGGGAAAAAAAAGGGTGATCACACACACACACACACACCAGCCAGGCCTCTGCCCCATTCCCTTCCCTCCAGGCTGCTCTCCTGGCAGCTTTAGGGTTCACAAAGACCTTTAGGGTTCACCTCCTCTCCTGCCCCGATAGGTGGAGTTGGTCAGAGCAGGGCTGGGTCCACTCTGTTAGCCGCGCTCCTCTCTCTCCAGGACCATGGCTACCTTGTACCGTGACCCTGAGTGGTCCTCCAAAAACCTGGAGACTGCCATCTTCGAGGCCCGGAGACACGTGGTCAAAGACAAGATGCCCTCCCTGTTCCCGGAGCAGCTCTTCAAATTCCGGGAGGAGCTCCGGCAGCGGAGCCAGCAGGGCTACAAGGTCACCTTCACAGACTTCTGGGGCCTGCTGGTGGAGTCGTGTCTGGGGGACGAGGTAGGCGCGCAGGCGTCCAGCTCTCTTGCTTCATGGGTGTGTATGTGTGTGTGTGGGGGGGGGGACCTGGCATGGCAGAGGGAGTCCCAGGGGACCTGCAGGTACATCCTGGGCTGGAAGAACCATGGGTGCTGACATGCACTGTGGAGGAAGACAGAGGAATTGGCTTCCCACATAGCAGACTCTCACGCTGGAGACGATGCAAACTCTGACGCTGAGAGCAGCTTGGGTGGAACCCAGTGTAGGGCAGTGAGTCCTCCAAGAGCCACACCAGGACGCCTGTGAGACAAAGGGGCGGCAGCGGGGAAGCTGGGGAGGCACCGACTGGGAGTGCGTCTCACCCTGAGCGGGGCGAGAGGAAGAAAAGCCGAGTGGAAGCTTCCTCCACAGCTGTCACCCTGGAGGTGCGGGAAGACCGCCGGCGGGGCCCTCTCACTGAAGCTGGCTGTGCCCCGGGATGGGGCTGCCTCAGTATCCCCAACACACTCAGCCGTGGACGTGACAGCACGGTGGCACTCTGCAGGCTCACTCTTCTGGCCACCGTCCAGGGACCGGCCCAGAGTGCTGCTTCCCACTCTGAGACCCTACGATCCAAGCCATAAGTGCCAAAAAGAGAACAAGAAGTGTTGGGACGCAGCTGCCGCGAGGGCTCCCCGGGGCATGGAATGGTCCTGAACGCCAGGGGGGCTCAGTGAACACCTCAGCCCTTCAGGCTGCACAGCCGTAGAGGAATCAGCGGTGGCTGTGTGTCCACCCAGGTGCATGGCCCTGTGCCTCCCTCCCAACCATATCTGGGAGGTTCTGAGTGCAAATCAGGAGGACTGGCAACAATTTATTATCCAGTAGGCCCCCACTTCCAGAAAGCCAGCAACCGAGGATGATCTGACCTTCACCTTCAGTGTTCACGCATTCCCTCATTCATCCTTTCAACTGAGTACCTCCTACAGGAACTGTGTCAGCCAGCGAGGATTCAGAAAGGAGTCAGACAGGGCTTCAGACTCGCCATCCCACCTGCCACCACGGAACCCACCTTCGTGATGGGCGGGGCAGGCCGGAGCCAAGGGCGCTGGCTTTTGGCTTCCGGCAGGACAGGGTTGGGATTCCTGCTCTGTGCTGTTCCTGAGGTGGAGATGACCTCAGTTAGTGGCAGCTGATACTTTTGACAGCATTTTCAGGATAGTTGGTGCCCATGTGATGAGGAGGAAAGAACCAAGGCATCAGTGTTTGAGGGTTGTGATGAGTGGGAGGGGCTGGGGTTCTCAGGAAAGCCAGGCTGAGAGGGATGGCAGGAGGAGGCCCTCTGACAATGAGCTCAGCCTGAGCTGCCCTCCCCCGGCCTGCAGAAGCAGCCCCTTCTGTCTGCCATCTGTGGTGTGATGGCCCAAGCAGGCCGTGTCCATTCTGCAGGTGCATTGTAAGAGCAGGTTTGCTCCTGTCCACTGTGGCCTCATGGCAGCCAGATGGCTCAGGAGCTGGGGGTGGTGCTGGCGGCCCAGGGTGTCCTCCTACCCTAGGCTGTCCCCAGGGGTTCCTGTTGGTGGCTTCTCCTTACGCATTTACTTCCCTGCAGAAAAATGAGTGCAAACTGTCAGAGCAGCGTGCTGCTTTGTGCCGGGGCCAGAACCCCCTGCCCATCTACCTCACCATTAATGTCAAGGACGATGTAAGCAACCAGGACTTCCGAGGTAACACTGGTGGCTGGCCACTGAGGACGGGGTTCCTTCTTGGGGGCAGAGGCACCCAGCACCTCCAGGTCTCCCCACCCCAACCCCTTTGCCAACCTCCACGTCAAATGAGGGTGCCCGCAGCTGAACCAGTCAGTTGTGCCCCACCCAGTCTTCCTGGCACACGAGTGGGGCTGGTGGCATGGTCCTTGGCTTCCCTGGGTGCATACTTGATGTATGGGGACCGTGTAAAGGCCCTAAAAGGAAGCTGCCCAGAGGGAGGGACCTTAGAGATCTGCCCTGTGTCCAGGTCCACTTCGGTCCCCATTTATGTAGCTTTGAGGTGCCCCTGAGCCACGCAGCTTGCAGAGTTCAGGCTTTCCCAACCTGTAGAAGCCAGCCAAGGGCGTCCCCTTGTGCCGTGTGGGGGAACTGCAGCCTCCCTGTCCTAGACTCCCCACTGCTCGGGAGCCAGTGCAGGAGGGCGGGCAGGCAGGCAGGGCTGGGCTCCTTGGCTTGAGTCGGATGCCCTGCCCTGCTGCTTCCTGTGCAGAGTGGTGCGAGTTCTCCCCCTACGAGGTGGGCCTGCAGAAGTACGGCGCCTACGTTCCCAGCGAGCTCTTCGGCTCCAAGTTCTTCATGGGACGGCTGATGAAGAGGCTCCCCGAGTCCCCGATGTGCTACATGCTAGGTGACTCTGGGTGGGGCTCCCCTCGGTACCCCTGCCCAACCCAGTGGGCCCCACCTTGGGATTTGAGGAACGATGGGGCGGCTCTTCCCGTGCCTTGGATCAGCCCTGAGCAGGGGACCTACTGGCACTTGCCAGCATCACCTTCCCCGGAGGAGGCTCATGAACCCACCCCAGACCTCCAGAACTGCCCTGATCTCGTGGCCATGTGGGCCCCGAAGGACCTGACTGCGGACCAGAGGGGACTCCCCGCCATGTCCGGATCTCCAGTGGGCTCCCTGGGATCTGCTCAGAACCAGACTGGGAGTGGAGTTTGGGATGGAAACTTCTGTAACTCCCTCTCCCTTCCTCTATGGTTTCCAGGCAGCAGTGTGCCGGCTTATGGGGGGCAGGAGGGAGAGGGCTCAGCCCTGGGGGTCCAAGAGGCCAGAGAAGACGGTCGGGTGAAGGACAGAGGACAGAGACCAAGGCCGGGCCCAGCTCCCTGATCTGTCAGAGGCCAGGTCCCCTGCAAGCAAGGCTCTGACTGTGACACCCACTCTTACAGCCACCCATCCAAGGTGACCTCAAAACAGACTTATCTCCACAGTACCTAGGAGTTAGGTCCTTCATTTAAACTCTGTCTCTGCTCCTTCCATCCATCCCAGCCCACTTCAGGGAGTCCCGCCTCTTCTTAGAAGCCCACCCAGAAGCCCTGAGCCCATGCTGGCCTTTCCTTCCCCTGACCTGTGCCTGGGGGCACGTGGGTCACAAGGCTGTAGTTAAAGACACTTGGGCTTGGCCGGCGCTGGGGCTCACTAGGCTAATCCTCCACCTGCAGCGCCAGTACACTGGGTTCTAGTCCTGGTCGGGATGCTGGATTCTGTCCCGGTTGCCCCTCTTCCAGTCCAGCTCTCTGCTGTGGCCCGGGAGTGCAGTGGAGGATGGCCCAAGTCCTTGGGCCCTGCACCCGCATGGGAGACCAGGAGAATCACCTGGCTCCTGGCTTCAGATCAGCGCGGTGCTGCGGCCAGCTGCAGCGGCCACTGGGGAGTGAACCAACGAAAAAAGAAGACCTTTCTCTCCATCTCTCTCTCTTACTGTCTAACTCTGCCTGTAAAAAAAAAAAAAAAAAAAAAAAGACACTTGGCCTTTAGCTGTACAAAGCTGGCTAAGTTAGCTAACCTCAAAGCTGGCTAAGTTAGCTAACCTCCGTGAGCCTTCGTTTTCTCACTGTACATCGGGCTGAAGAGTAAACCCTACCTGGTGGAGGATCCCAGTGATTCAATGTATGTGAAAGATTTAATGTTACACTTTCAGACTTGAATGTTACACTTTTAAAATCATCATAGTAAGATGTAAGAGGGAGTTTTACGTCCTCCGAGCGAGTGCCAGGCGCTGTCCTCACCTTTAGGTGTATGCACTGAGGAGAGGCGTAGCACCTGGACTTGAACTCGAGGCTCACACTTGTCAGCACTGCGTCCCGGCTGGGGCTGTGCACGCGGGTCTGGGTGGGCCCGGGAGTCTGCACAGCTGCTCACGGTGGCCCTGGCCCCCTAGGTCTGTGGAGCAGCATCTTCTCCCTGAACCTGCTTGACGCCTGGAATCTGTCCCACACCTCGGAGGAGTTTTTCCACAAGTGGACAAGGAGGACAGTGCAGGACATCGGTGGGTCCCTCTGGCTTCCCTTATGGTGGGGGGGGGGGGCAGGGATCCTGCACTGAGGGCCAATCCGCCTGCCACGTGTTTCCACGGTGTCCCCGGGGCGCACAGACACAGAAGGCAGCCGGGGTGGTGCACCTTCCCCCCTTGAAGGCAGGTGATTGTAGGTGACACCTGTGCCGAGGTCCCCGGGGTCCCCTGGGTCTCCTGGGTGGCCTCCCAGCGCCCAGGAGAACTGATGAGGGAGGCGTCAGTGAGCGCAGTTACAGGTCACTCCTCCAGACTCCCTGGCCTCTCGGGGACCCTTAACTTTTTTTCTTTGTTAATTTAATTGAAAGGCCAACAGAGAGCTCCCATCTACTGGTTCACTCCCCCCCGATGCCCTTGGCTGGACCAAGCCAAAGCCAGCAGCCAGAGCTCAACCCAGGTTTCATTCATGGGTGGCAGGACTCAACCACTTGAGCCATCACCTGCTGCCTCCCAGCGTGCATGCTGGCAGGAAACTGGAGTTGAGCGTGGAGTCGGGATTCAACCCTAGGTACTCCAGAATGAGACGAAGGGTCTGAACCTCTGTGCCAAATGCCACCCCTCTGGGACCCTTCTCACCCATCACCCTCTGTCTCCTTCTCCACTCCCCCACCTCCTCCAGTGTCTCTTACCTGGGTGCTCCTGGCACCAGTGATGAGGGAGGTCTGCACTGCCGCCACAGAGGCTCACCTGCAGGGCCAGGCAAGCAGACGGCGCCTCACCTGGGCAGTCTGGGGACCCCAAGTTTTGTGACCCGCCCCCTCACCCTCCCCTGCAGAGGATGAGCCGCTCCTGCCTGACATCCCCAAATGTGACCCCCACGTGCTGGAGACTGCGGTGGTGGTCCCGGGGTCGTGGCTGTCCAACACTTTCCGAGACATCCTCACCTATCGGGCCTTCGTGTCTGAGTTCAACAACTTCCTGTATGGCCTGCAGCTGCACACCAGCTACCTCCAAAACGAGGAGTTCTCCAAGTGGAAAGGTATAACCCTGCCTGCACACTGCTGGGAGGAGGGAGAAGCGGGTGTAGAGGAAGAATGAGAAAACCCCTTCATTGGGTAGAAGGTGGCCAGTTCCCGCCCCCCAACCCCCACCTAGGGGGATTCCTCCTTCTGCAGTGTGGACTTGAACAGTGCATAGCTCTGCCAGCAGGGGGCGGTGTGGGCATTTAGTTAATTGTAAACTACACTGACCACACAGCAACCCTGCAGGAGTGGGCTTCCCTGCACAGCCAGGGAAACGTGGGCCCTTACTGCTGGGCTCTAGGGGTGCCCCTTGGAGTTGGGCAGGGGTGGCCCAGTCAAGAACCCCCCAGTGGTAAGGAGAAGGGCCAGCCTTCAACTTTGGTCTTGCAGCTTCAGCTCAGTGCCTCCCCGCACCCAAGGTGCCAAGGTTGACTTTCCAGTTTGATATTTTATTTGGCCACACCCTGCTATTGGCTGCTTGAGCCTGGCCTTTACCACCTGGGGCAGAAGGGGCAGCTGGCTCGGGCCCAGGGTTGGCACTAATTTATAGGATGATCTCAAGCCCCTGCCACCCTGCAAGCTGCAGCTGCGTTATAGCAGACTTCCTGTGCGTAGCCCATGCAAGGCGTGCTGAAACCCCAAGGTCGTGCTGTTCCTCGTGAGCCCACCCCAAGGAGCTGGGGCACTCGGCAGCGCTCCTCCAACATGGGGCATGGGGCAGGAAGCTGCCAGCAGCGCGGCCACCATCCAAGCTGTGTCGCTAACTGGAAGCCTCGGCTTTCAGACACCGTGCTGGACGGTTTCCCAAACCAGCTGACGACATCTGCAAATCACCTGTGCCTCCTGGACACCGCGTTCTTCGTCAACTCCAGCTACCCGCCCCTGCTCAGGCCCGAGAGAAAAGCCGACCTCATCATCCACCTCAACTACTGCGCCGGCTCCCAGACAAAGGCAAGTACGGCAGCCCGGGTCCGCACGGTGAGCCGGGAGGAAGCCCGAGCGCTCGGCGTCCTCTCGCTCAGACGTCGCTCACACCTGCCGGGGCCTGTGTGCCAACGAAGCGAGGGCACCTGTGCAGCGCACTCGGGGAAGGAGCCTGCCGCTGGCCGTGCACCTTGGGTTCAGCCAAGCACGTGGGGGTGGGAGTCGTCAGCCGGGGAGGTGGGGAAGCGGCTCCTGAGCAGTGTGTGTTTCTCAGCCTGCCCCGGCCTTCCCCACACTCAACGCGCGCCTTCCTGCGCTGTTGCAGCCCCTGAGACAAACCTGTGAGTACTGCAGCACGCAGGGCATCCCCTTCCCCAGCTACGAGATTCAAGAGGCTGACGACGGGCTCAAGGAGTGCTACCTGCTGGAGAGCCCCCAGGACACCGACGCCCCCACCGTGGTCTTCTTTCCGCTCATCAACGACACCTTCCAGAAGTACAAGGCGCCAGGTGAGGGCCCGGCAGCCCCTGGCCTCGGCACCCATGAAGAAGCCTGGCCTGGCCGCAGTCTGAGCTGCCTGGGCTTCTGCAAGGCAGTGCTGAGCCCCCGCTGCCAGCTGTCAGTGTCACCCTGCTCTTCCAGTCCACAGCATGCCCTGCCTCCCACCACGGGCCTGGCGCTGTGTTGGGACTAGGGCGGTCCTCACATAGGCACGCCATACCACTTAGAGGTGTGTGTGTGTGTGTGTGTGTGTGTGAGCAGGGGAGCCGCAGGCAGGGGTGCAGGAACAAGCCCCCTCACAGTCTTGTCTGAAGGGTCTTGAGCGGGGCCCTCTGCCGCCCCCAGGTGTGGAGCGGAGCCCGGAGGAGCTGGAGCTGGGCCAGGTCGACATCTACGGCCCCAACACGCCCTACGCCACCAAGGAGCTGACCTACACGGAGGAGGCCTTTGACAAGCTGGTGAAGCTCTCTGAATACAACATCCTGAACAACCAGGACCAGCTCCTGCAGGCGCTGCGGCTGGCGGTGCAGAAGAAGAGGCGGCTGAAGGGCCGGTGTCCCTGCTAAGCCCCGCGGGCTGGCCGCCCACGCAGCCACCCCTGGCAAAGGGTGCAGCAGGCTGGCCTGGGCCATCTACCAAAAACTTAGGAGACAGAGAGAAAGAAGCCGACGAGGAGCCGCGTGGTTTTACACTCACTGGGATTTCCCTCAGCGCCCGCTCGCGGGGACGTCGCCTCACGTTGTGTCAAGCACAGGGTCCGAAAGCCGAGCTGAGACACGGGGATGCAAGGGCGGAGCTCGTGTCCCCACCTCCCATCCGGGGCCTCCAGTGGCGGCCCAGGGAAAGTGCAGGAGGTCTGACAGGCACTCCGGTTTCTCCAGAAAAGCGCTTTTCCAATTCTGAGTCCATTGTGCCCCTACGATTTTCCTAGGCAGTTATGTTCTCTGATTCAGGGTATCACAGGGAAACACGTGCAGGGAGATCCAGGTGTAGCACCAGCGTCCCCCGGGCTCTGCCACACGGGTGACCAGCATCAGCGGCACTCAGAGCCCCAGGGCTGGCGGCTCACGCGGCCCCTCCCGGCAGCCACGGCCAGGCTGCGGCTCCAGCGAAACGCAAGGCAGAGCTCACAGACCAGGGCCCGGGCTGCAGGCAGGGAGGGCTGGGAGAAGGAGCCAGGCGCCAGGTTGGGGGAGCCCGGGGGCTCTCTCAGCACCCTGTCTCTGGTTTCCGGAAGGGACTGTTTATTTCTAAACGGGACCCCAGCTCTTGGAGAGCCCCTCAGACAGTGAAAGCAGGAAGCAGCAGCACAGAGGCCGAGGACAGCCCCGCAACAAAGGAGCTGATGCTGGCCACCGGTTTTCCAGGCCGTGCGCGGGGCAGCCCGGCAGTGCCAGCAGGTCTCCCTCCCAGCTGGGGACTTGCGGAATTGTTCATCCAGATGTCCCAGTTGCCAGTGAAGCCAGAAAGGCAGAAAGGCACATGACCCTCTTGAGCTCAGCCAGCTGTGTTTCGGGGTCACCAGGCCCCCTAAGCAGCCCTCCGCTTGTTAGGAGGCAAACAGCGATGAGTCTGAAAGTTGGGCGAAATCGGCTTCCAACTACGTCCTGGCCGCGCTGGCTGGGGGCGGGGGACTGGCCACACCCACGCCAGGTCTGCACCCCTCTCCCCACCCACCCCAGCCCAGGTGACTCCTGTACTCACGGGTGAATCGGCTTCCTGGAGCCACCCATCACTGGGCTTCTTCGGTCCCCACCAGCCAGCGCTAACCTGGGTGTCACCTGTCCTGTCCCCAAGTGCAGCCAGCAGCCTCGGCCTTCGTTTTACTTTCTAACAACGCGAGCTCTCCTGCAATTACCCGCGAGAGAGCCCAGCAGCAGGAGCTGGGGCCCCTCAGTCACGCAAAGTGCAGCTTAGAAAAGCAGCGGATCCTCGGAGCCCAGAATAAAGTGGCCACGTGGTAACCGCGGTCGACTCCTCTGCTTTCATTACCTGAAGCCGCCTCCCTGCGCCGGCTCCCATTCTCGCTTCTCCCCCAGGCTTCCCGTGGCCACCTGCCGCCCCTCCCTTCTCTCCTGGCAGCTTCTGTGATGAGACCACCTCTGTTTCCAAGATTTAGTGCCCCGGCCCATCCGGGTCCCTGCTGGGCCGAGCTCGGATGTTTTTCAGGAAACGTGGACTGGGAGGACGGGAAGGCACCCAGCACCCGTGGAGCGTGTGCTTTGGGCCAAGAAGGCGCTCCTGCTGTGGCTGGGGGCGGCGGGGCGTGCAGAGAGCCTGGGGCATGCTTGAGAGGCCACGTAGTGAGTGCGGCTCCTGAACTGGCAGAGTGACCCCAGCTTGGCCGGGCAAGGGCTGGCACCTCCCCGTCCCCTGCTCCCTGCTCTCTGCTGTCGGCCTACTCAGACAGGAAAGGTGAAGGCCTGTGTCCCTCCATCTTGGTCCCCACCTTTCCTTCCCAAGGCAGCAGCCCACACGAAAGCCGCTGCCATCCAGCCCCGCTACTCCATCTCATGGCCAATGTTTCCTGCCCCTACCTCCCCATGAGAACGCCCTGCCCAAGGTCACAGCGTACCAGCCGCCAGGTGCACAGAGCCAAAGGCCCCAGCCCTTTCCCGGCCTTCTGTTACTTGATTGTTCCCAACATTCAGCACTGCAGACCACTCCCTGCTTCCTGACCCCCTCCCTTCCCGTGGAAGCCTTGCCAGCCGCAGTGCAGTGTGGTTCAGCTTGCAAACACTCGCCGCCAGCCCACTGCGTGCCAGTCGCTGTGGCAGGGCTGATCCGGGGCTGCAGACTGCATACAGGAGCCCACGTGGAGCCGGGGGTGCACCAGGGCCACACAAGAGGGCACCCAGCCCAGCCACACAGGGGAGGGGCCTGCTTCTGCCCAACCTTCCTCCCGGATTTCTTCCACCACAGTGTGGGGACCCTCCAGCCACCTCCCCTCTGCTGCTCTAACTGCTGGGTTCCTCGAGGTGCCTCAGTTCTCCCCTCTTCTCAGTATTTTCTCTACCCAGGACTTCAGCTACTACTTCCGTTTTGAACACTCTCAAACTCTTCTGTTCAAGGTCTATAGCTGAGAGCATTATTTTCTCATTGTAACCTGAAGACCTAAAGTTACGATGGCTTAAACAAGTAGGAATGTACTTTTTTTTTTTTTTAAATCAGAGAAGTTCAGGCTTTTTTCAGCTGTCTTCTGCCTTGTAGTCCAACATTGCTGCTGGAGCTCCACCCATCATGTCCACATTCCAGGCTAAACTTCTACCTTAAAAAGGACGATAGCCCCTTCAGGTATCTTTTGTTGGGCAACAAAATACCTTAATGAGTAATGGCACAAAACAGCAGTCATTATACCGGGCCTGGACAATAGGGTTCCGGAGTTTGGAACAAGCACAGCAAAGACAGCCTTTTCCTCTGTGTGTTTGGGGCCTCGGCTCCGTCCCCTGTGCTGCCCAGGAGAGTGAAGGGGCTACGGCTAGAACAGCTGTGGTGGGCCGAAGGCGCAACCTCCCCCGTGCCTCCTCACTCCAGCCGTGGGTGGAGGAGCAGCTGCCCGTGGCCTCCCCAGCGTGGAGGGCCTGCGGTAGTCAGCCTTCCTCAGTGGCCCTCGGGGCTCCCAGAGCAAGCAGTACACTGCATGGTGCAGGGCCCATTGAGCCTAGCCTCGGGCCTCACCCAGCTCCACTTCCACGGCAGTCTGTTGGGACCACAAGGCCACCCAGGGTCCGGGGCAGAGGGCAACAACCCCTACCTCTGGATGGGAGGCCTTGCTTTCGCCTTTTTTTTTTTTTTTTTAATGATGTATTTATTTGAAAGAGTGATAGAGAGAGACAGAGACAGAAAGATCTCCGATCTGCTGGTTCTCTCCCCAAGTGGCCCCAATGGCCAGACCAAAGCCATGAGCTTCATGCAGGTCTCCCACATGGGTGCAGGAGCCCACTTGGCCATCTTCCACTGCTTTCCCAGGCATGTAGCAGGGAGCTGGATCAGAAGTGGAGCAGCTGGGACTGAACCAGCGCCCATATGGGATGCCGGTAGCAGGCGGTAGCTTAACTTGCTGTGCTACAGTGCCGGCCCTACAGCCATGTTTTAAGCCCCAGCTTGCAACACTAAGTGCTGACCCTCACCCACATCCTCTCAGCGAGGGTCACGTTTTAGGCACTGTTGTGGGCAGACTCCATTTCTGCTAACAAATTAGTTGCTACTTAGGAGTTGCTTTCTCATCTCTGAGAAATGGTGGCTTAACCACACTTATGTGAAACCAGACCACAGGCGGGGGTCCTAGGCCCCTCTGTGGCTCTCGGGGGCCACACTCCTCCTGACTCCCCGCGGTCCTTGGCCTCGTGCTCTGGGGTGGGCCCCCAAGCGCCAGCTGTCACACCATATGCCAGGCCACAGGAAGGAAGGAGGAGAGAAGAGACTGAAGGAGACTTCAGCTGACGCGGCGCCAGCTGGAACGCGGCCTCGTGATGTGGCCCGCAAGGAGGCCGGGGAATGCCCGCCTTCACCACGGGCGCGGGGCACCCAGCTGCACACGGGGGCTCTGCCAGTGCAGGGGGCCAGCTTGGAAGCAGTGGGCAGTCTCACTGCCAGGACCCACCGCCATCTCAGCCGCACGTCTGCTCCTGCCTGCTCAGGGGCGCGGGGACCTGGTAAGTAGCCACGGAGGAGGGAGCCAGTGGCGGGGGGCTCTTGTAGGGCTGGGAGTTTGGCGGAGCGGTTAGAATGAGCCACTTGGGGCACCCGTATCACGCTGGGAAGAAGCAGCCCTGGCACCGCTGTGGGAGACCCTGGTTGAGTTTCTGGCTCCTGGCTTCAGCCTGGATCAGGTCTGGTGCTTGCAGCCACGTGGAGACTGAACCGATGGATGGAAAAATCTCCCTCTGTCTCTGTGTTTCAACTAAAATGAAAATAAATGAGTAGGTAAGTTAAACGAAAATAGCAAAGAACTTCCTCTAGTCTCCTCAGCATGGGTAGCCGTTGGCTTGGCTGGTATCTGGAGCCAATCCGTGACATAATCTAGAATGAACCTTGTGACCAGCAAGTTATCAAGAGGAAAAAACCTTCCTTACAATCAAAATCCCCATACAGCGAGGAGACTCCCGAGTCTGCGTGTCCAGATACTTACTGTCAGGATTATTCAATGCATCGGGACTTGGGTCAGCTGCAGATCTGTCTGGGTGAGGAGCTACCCTGGAAAATGACTGGATTCAATGAAAAAGTGACTGAAATTCTAACAGCTAGGCTGGGCCAGGCAGAAGCCCGGAGCCCAGAGCTCAGTAGGGGTCTCCCATGTGGGCAGCAGGGTTCCAACTACCTGAGCCATCACTGCTGCCTCCTGGGGTGCACATTAGGAGGAAGCTGGAATCAGAAGCGGAGCCTGGGCTCAAACCGCGTCCCGTGCGGGGCTTAACCGCGCTGCCACATGCCCGCCCCTGACTTCTGTTCTTTTTTGTAAGGATCAAAGGCAATGCATTTCTTTCCTTCCTTAAAATCTTTTTCTGCTTACACAAAAAGGATTATGTGTAAAACTTGAAAAATGCAAAAGCACATCAAGCGGAAGCTAAAGTTTCTCACAGCACTCAGGGATTGAGACTGTTACTATTTGCGGCTTTATCCTTCCCATCTTGTTCTTTGATACTTTACTTTTTTAAAAAAATGAAAGTACAAACATCTCTTACATTCACTTTTTTAAAAGTTGTGGTTAAGGGTGGGCATTCAGCCTTGTGGTTGAGATGCCACATCCCACAACAGAACACCTGCTTGGATACCCAGCGTCAACTCCCGTCTCCACCTGCCTGCGAAAGCAGCTGGGGATGGCTCAAAGACTTGGGTTCCTCCCTGCCTCCCACGTGGGAGACCCAGATGGAGTTCCCAAATCCCAGCTCTGGCTGGAGAGTGAGCTGGGGGGTGGGAGCTGTCTCTGTATCTGTCTCTCTCTATCCATGTCTCTCTGCCTCTCAAATTAAAAAAGAAAATTAACAGTGGTTACAAAGTGTACATACAGCTCAGCCGTGTTAAGCTTGTTCACAACGGTGTGCGGCAGATCTCCATAACTTTCTCATTTTGCAAAACTGAAACTGCACCGGTAGGCCAACAGCGCCCTACTTCCTCCTCCCCACATTTCCTCGTAACTCCCACTCTGCTTTCTGTTTCTTCCAGTTTTACTGCCGTAGAGACCTTGTATGATTGAAATCATGCAGGAGTCATTACTTTATGACTGCTTGATTTCCCTGAGCACGACGTCCCCAGAGCTCGCCCATGCTGTAGTGTGCGCCGGGCTCCTTCCTTTCCAAGCAGGATACCCACAGCTAACATTTTGCTCCTGTCTGACATTAGATACGTCCATACCCATCGCTAACGTTTTGCTCATCGGCTCCCCCGCTGGTGGATGTTGGAGTTGCTGGGTGTTCAAACACTTCTTTGAGACCCTGCTTTCCGTTCTGTTGGATGTTTGCTCAGAAGCGGAATTACTGGATCATATGGTAACTCTATTTTTAATTTTTTGAGGAATCACAATTCTATTTACCTTAGCAATTGCATATACATTCACTCCTGTAATCTAGTCTTTTTCTGCTTACAGATATATTCTGAATATTCTTTTGCAGGTCATTCATATTCTCAGATGACAATTTGTGGTGACTACGTAGGAATCCATCATTTGCTTAACTAATCCTCCACAGGGAGACATCTGGTTAAGTTTTTCGTGGTTATAAATGATGTGCTGATAAATAACATTAGATAAAGCTTTAACATTCATTATTTTTTTCAGAACAAAATTCCCGAGTCAGTGGGGCTGGCACTGTGGTGCAGCAGGTTAAAGCCCCAGCTGGCAGTGCCAGCATCCCATATGAGTGCCAGTTCAAGTCCCAGCTGCTCCACTTCTGATCCAGCTCTCTGCTAATGTGCCTGTGAAGGCAGTAGAAGACAGCCCAAGTCCTTGACCCCTGCACCCACGTGG